TCTGCTTCTTGAATATGTTTACGATCAAACTTTTCTACGAGTATAGGCTCCGAAAAATCTAAAGTTACATTATCTACAGTATTATTCAGAATAGTTGTCAAAGCATACCCGTTTTTTGCAATTGTGAGGCATTCCGGTATTTCACAGTTGTGAAATTTGTGGTGGGGAATGATTATCTCGCCATTACTTATAGATGTTTTTATTTTGATAATTTGTTCCGATCTAGCATCGATTTTTATTAAGTTAAGATCCGTTTGTGTTTTTTGAAAAAGCAATTTTATTTTTGAGTGTGGCGTAATCAAATATCCTTTATCGAAATCAATAGTTGCTTGTAATGATTTCAAACTATCTAATCCAATCAATCCTCTGAAGACATTATGAAACTTGAATAGAAAAAATTTCAAGGTTTTATTGTTTTGCAAATTGAATATTTTTGAAGCGGGAATGCAAGCACTAAACTTATGTGCCGACTTTTGAAATACTGTAGATACGACAAATGGGTCGTTTCTTATTAAGCTAGGAAAAAACTTATGAGCTATATCTGGGTCAATGAACGATTTCGTCGAACCAGAATCAAGTAAAACTTTTATATTATATTCGGGTAAAATAATATATGGTAATTCGCTTGCATTAGTAGTATTAAATGGAATGATATGTGAATCTAAGCTGGATTGGTGCTGTGATGGGATTTCTGAAAATTTTCACTCGTACCGGCAGCATTTTCATTATCGAAAGCTTGTTCCTGTAATGTATAGTCATTTTGTACGTTATCGTATTGTTCTTCGAAATTTCCATAATTTTCCTCTAGTTCTGTGTTGTTTAATTCTTCTGAAGCAAAAGTTCTTCTATTATTATCGAATGATCGTGAATTTTGATAGTTTTGGTTATTTTGTGCAGGTCTAAAAGTATTTGTAGTGTTTACGCTCATTGGCGTGGGCCTGAAAGTATTTCTAGTGCTCACGCTCATTGGCGTAGGCCTATCAAAGCTACTATTAGGGTTTGGTCTGAAAACATTCCTATTTTGTTGATTGTTTCGACCAAATACTTGAGCATTTGTGAAAAATCTTTGTGGGCGATTATTTTCTCTAGGTTGCACATTGATAGGTTGAGAAGGGAATGACATATTTTGTGAATGTTGGTTTCTGAATTGATTATTTGGATTGTTGAAAGTATCATTTGAATAATTATTAGAAAATCTTTGTTGCGGTGATTGCCTTGTCGGGATATTATTTTGTCTCGGCATTTGTCTATTTTGATGCATATTCTGAAAGTAATGTGTATTGTCTTCTTGGATAACGAGTTGCAGGGCCTCGCTTAGACTTCGAGGTCTCATACAACGTATAGTGGTACCTAGTGGTTCTTTAAGACCTGATAAAAATGTTTTGAGTGTTAATTCGTTATACAAATTGCGTTTCAGAACTTTCGCTTCATGATTTGCTTCGTGAATATCTACATGACTACAAATGAGGTTCAGGATTTTCAGGCATCGATCATAAAATTGCTGTGGTCTTTCGTTTTGACTTTGTCTCAACATTACTAAGTCCCTATTGAGACAAGCTTCGTCTCGTTGATCAGCGAAATTTCTCTGAAGTGTTTCTTTCAGATCATTCCAATTAGTTGCTAGCTGAATATTTACAACCAATCTAGCATTGCCAGTCAGTTTAGATATAAGAGAATTCAATAAGTAAGTATTATGGAAACTACCAGGATTAGCAGCATCATAAAAATTTGTAATAATTTGATCACAAATTGAAATATATCGATTTAATTCATTTGGATTCCCGTTGAATTCGGGGATACAGTTCAAATATTCAGATTTGAATTGATTCATTATAGGTTCGGTTTTAAATAAATTTTCGGGAGTACGATCAGTTTCAGAGTCAGTTGAAGGATCACGCAAATTTATACTTTCAAGAATTCTTGATAAATCTTCGATAGACATTCAAGTATGTACTCACAATAATAATAGAGTTACTTCAAGCATATCCTTCCTAATAGGTATAAAGATGAGTCCTGGATTTGCGATTCCTGTCTCCTCCAGAAGTTCGATCTTTGCAGAAATGGACGATATGGTTCCAATTCTCGATGCTTCGTTGATGTAGGGCTTCAGACGGGTCTCTGCTAGACGGTCCTCTTCAAACACCTCCACAACGAACCAACAATTTTCGATATCCAGTCAATCGTTAAAACGAAATCACCACGTTCGATACGCGATAACCCGGATATCCTACCGACTGCGCCAATAATATTTCCGATAGCTCGAAGTCCCTTTTTAAAAACTTTATTTTTCGTATACACGTATGATTGGCAAATTATGTACAAGAGATGTTTAACATACGGAGTTGAGTTAAGAACTGACTGCAGAACGGCTCTCGCTGGGTACACGACGATCTTGCTGATTTCATGGAAACGGTGGATTCAGGGAATCCAAACTGTGGGATCAGCAATGTCAGCATCTTCTTGTGGGAACCTATGTTGAGTGGCGACATAATTCACGTCATCGTTCTAACTGATTGATTCCCGAACTAGAATTTTATCTATGAGTAATCACATCGAGAATAATGTATACAAGGGTTTGAGAAATCAATATACAGTGTCACCATTAAAGTTCTTATCATATGAGAATTATTTTCAATCATGTAAATTTGAAGTTTGTGAAGGGTTTTTTCTCTGAAAATAATGGTAAATTACGTCAATTCCGAACATGAAAAATGTTGGGTTATAGTATTGTGGCGAATTTTATACCCAATCATCAGGTGATTTTGTTACCTAATAGAGCTTAGCAACATTAGAGTCCCTGTATATACCTTAGACAAGAGTCCGGACACAGCTATACTTTTGTCCTTTTCTGTTATCAAAAAATGCATTGAATAAAGGAATAAGACATATATATCGAGCTCTGTCTTTTCAATTCCCCTAGGATCAATGATTTGTCAGAAAAAATTTTGAGGGTTAGATTATTTGTCAAACCGTTCATAGCCATAGAATAATTATTAGATTTTCAAATAATGAACAACAGGGTGTTCAAATTTCAAATGGATAATTTTCATGATCAATTATTCCTGAGATACCATTAGATATAAGAAAGATAATTCAAGTGTTCTACGTGGTATCACATATAGTCAAGAAAATATATTTAGTTGTTTTCTGTTGGGATATAAAAAAATAGAAGATATATAATTGTTTCAATATAATTTTAATTGTGTCGGTTTCCCACCTCTTCCTGCAGTCTACATTCACCTGTAAATTTTGAATTCGATCTCAATTAAAAACACCGTGGACTGATGACATAGCACATTGCAATTTCTCTAAATCTTCAAGTTTTGATTTCAAACTTTCAATTTCTTTCCGCATCATCTCATTCTCATTTTCTTTCTCTGCGATCGTATCATTCAGTAATTCCCAATACGATGACGACGGAACTTTTTTTTCTTGAACGTCTTTATTTTATAAATTGACGGCACAGCAGACTCTTTCAATTTGAAATCCATCAGCTTGAAAGAATCTTTATCAAAATGGGCTTGAAATTAATCTTTTTTGTACTGTTTTTTCAAGTAAATTTGAATATTCACCTCACATAATTCGGATTTCTTGAAATTAATTTTCCATTCTGGACGTTCCATTGCATTCTTTCATCTCTAAAGGATCATTCGGAAAATTGAATAACTTGAATCCCTTTTCTAATGAATTATCGAAATGATGTACGCAGCAGGACATTGAAATAATTCAAAATGCAAAATTTTGGCGGTCATAAAATTTCAGTGACAGTGACAGAAATTCGAAATAATTAAAAAAAGCGGGCGGGACGACTATGGTGTTTCGTCACATTGTCAGGTGGGCAAACCAAATGAAACAAAATATTGAAAACCCCAACGGCTGTCAGTTTTGTGTCCGGACTCTTGTCTAAGTTATGTACAGGGACTCTTAGCAACATGAGCCTATTTAGATTGCCGGTTTTACAATTATCATGGCAACTTGAGTCGAGATCGCAATGCTACGTTTTTGCTTTCTACGTCGGTTTTATTGAATCAAATTGTGGTTTTTCGACAAATCACTATGTATTTCAATGGAATTTTTTGTCCTTTGAGCACCCAAAAGCGAATTGAATCGGGAAATCGTTGAAGTTTCAATGGCGTCGAGTATTGTTACGTACTAAAATAGTGATTTTGTACTACTGCAATGAGTAGAAATCAACAATTTATAGGCTAAGGATCCATTGGTGCCCAAAACTGCATCTATTATAATAATATGTGAGAATTCCTATGAAAAATTCATGAAATTACAATTTTCTACCACTATCCCGAATGGGAGAATGGGAGAATATAATATGTTACATGCTAAACTGGTAATTTCATGCCTCTACAATAGGTAGAAATTGATAATTTCTTCATGATCCTATATGAGAACCAAAAAAATTGGTCAATTCTAAAATTATTTGATTATATTCAAACACAATCTGTTGTGTACTTACCAAATACCACACGTAGTTGAATTATTTTCCGGATTTTTTTCAAGTGTTATTACAAGTGTAAATTTCTCCAAGAAAAACGAAATAAAATCCGTTTATTTCTGACAGTGACATTATAAGCTTATACCGTCATAGTTTCGATATCTATAATGAGGGTCATAACTCCCTTGGGATGTTATAGATGCTATAATTCCCTCTAGCTAAAATTAAATAAGAAATGCATAGCAACAACCATGCAATAACGTAGCAATAAGGAATCTCCTATTTGCGGTAGTCAAGATCATCATCTGACGTTCTGATGACATTGAAACTATACGGAAAAACATGTCTAACTTCCAATCGGGAAGGTATCTAATGAATGAAATCAGTCAGAAATAAAATTATCTATGTATCACGGGAATTACTGAGCCTCAATAACCTCAGGCAATTGCTGTCCCTCGGGCCAGAAGCCCTCGGGACGCAAACTTTGCCATCGGTAATTAAGGCCCTCATAATTCCCTTGATACATAAATAACTATTGTTTTAATTTCAGAGGGACCAACGACACCTCCCTGTTCCTGTTGTGGTGGATCCACCTTCCCGATAGCTTGAAATTGGAGTTCCAGCCGTCGATAAAGAGGATCGGCGACGGCGAATGGAAGAACGGAACATGGACGACAAACATGTGGCACCAATTCACCGGTTTGGAGCCCTACACCAAATACAACATGACGGTGTACGTGAGGATAAAAGTGAGTTCATGCTCATGTGGAAATTTCATGAAATAATATACCTATGTTGGACCATTGAGGATCTCGCTTAATTTGATTAGACTGCTAATCGCCTAAGATTTTCGCAAATTACATGCCATGATGTAGCTAATCCATTGAAAACATGTCAGAGTATGATTTGATTCGAATACATGGAAATAAAAGCGATTAGTGTTAATTAGAACACTATTTATTGATAAAGCAATCAAACTAATTACATTTTCAGTAAAAGTCACGTATATACACAGAATAGAATACACTTGAAGACCTCTTTCAGCTCTGTTGTTCATCAAATCATCTAGAATGAGATTCTTCATCTGAGACGAAAGCCTTTCATTTTTGTAGTCAACAAAAGTCAATCCACTACGTCTTAGCAGTCTGGTCTTTAGAACTTATGAAAAGATATGTCCTTATTTCTAGGGTGCCTTGATCTTAACAGAGTACGGACAGATCCTTGTCTCCTCTCACTCTAAAGTGTTTGTGAAACAGTTTTATAGTTGCATCTTTATTCATTTCTGGGGATAAACACTAGATTTCTGACAGTCTTTGTTTTTTAGGTTATATTGGGGACATTGGCGTATTTTACGCACGTGATACATACAAAATTTTATGCACTAGTGGTTTATTTCCCGAGTCACAAGTAATGACTAGATTTCAACAAACTACAATTCATATGTTACTCATAAATTCAGTTTTCAAGAGAAGCGCAATGTTCAAGTGTATAATCTACATATCAAAATTACCGTAGGAATATGGCAATTATCGTAAGAGTAAAACTCTTCGTTCACTAACAGAGATTCATTACTTGAGATGTAACAATATGTATACCCAGTATAGGTCGCGTGCACGAAGACCGACCCTGGAGGCAAAATATTGAAACACAACCTCATTTTTCTGTGAATTATTGAAACACAACCTCACTTTTTTATTTGGTTACAGAGGAATCAAAAGGTTGAAATAGTTTTTCACAATATTTTGGCCTTCGCATTGTGCTGTTGTACAATGCACAAAAAATGCAGCAAGAGACTAGGGAATATGATTTTTCAGGTAAATAGTAATCTCACATAGTAAGCATTATGAAATGTTGTCATTCCTTATTAAAATTCCTTCTGCCTTCTGCCACTTCTGCAATACAAGCTAATAGATTGAAAATGTCTACAACACACACGATCGTCAGCATGTCAGACCAGTCCTACCGATTGATTGCATGAATCCAATCTTCTTGCATTATTCTAGAAATTTCAGGTATATTTCTATCAGCTGATCCTATTGCAGAAGGATTCCGATGAGAAATCAGAGAAATTACCAAATTTTAAAATGAAAACTATATGTGAGTGACTATAGTAGGTACTTACTTTTGAATCATAATGTACCATCCGGATTTCTTCATCTTCCGCCGCAGTTTTTGTGCATTTTACAATAGCACAATGTGATGGCATTAGCGAATTGATGAATAGCGGAAAAATACGATTCATATGCCAAAATAATTGTGGAAAACTATTTGGATCACTTGTAAACAAATATGTTTTGCCTCCAGGGTCGGTCATCTGACAGTTCTTGCACACAACCTATATATAGCTACCTAAATTTGACGTTGTCAATCAATCTGATGGTTGCTGTCTAGCAATACATCCAAAAAACAAGCTGAAATTGTCATATTTTGGCTAAAAACTTCAGACAGCCAGCAAGCAACTATTCAAAGAAGGAAGTTATAGCGAAGATGGAATCGGAAGAACAATTACATGTATCATAATCATAACGATAGAATCAGCTGAGAGTTCGAATATAGGTTTTCCACAAAAGGATGTGTGGATATAAGGGACTCGAGAACAGCGGGCGGTAAAGTACCGCTTTACGCCCGCATATCTGGGCGATAAAGTGCACTTTACTGCCCGCTAGTGCATAAAAATAGTTTCATTGAGTAGTAGAAAAATCCTAGAAAGATCTAATGCGACCCTTCACTTCCTCCCAAGGATTCGAACCTCGTCTTCCCTCCTGCCATCTACAACGTCTCGCTGACCAGCGACGGCACTCCCAGCGAACCCTGGAACCTCACGGCGAAACAGCGCAACGGCTCCCACATCCTGGTGGCGTGGAAGAAGCCGCAGAAGCCCCGCGGACCGATAGTGGCTTATGAGATAGTGTGGAAATCAGAGAAGGCGCCGGAGGTGCGACTGAAGCTGACAGGGAACGAGACGTCGCATCTGCTGTCACCCGATTTCGAGCACGGGGTCACCTACACGTTCTGGGTAAGATCAGATTAGAGTTCCTGAATGGTACTGGTACTGGTGGGGGACGTTTCCACGTCAGCAACTAGTCCCTAATGGGACCTTTTTGCTAACCGCAAGTGTTTTCAATGACTGATGTGGTTTGCTCAACAGAGCTGGCTAACATCCTTTTCAGGCACCGCCCATCAGCTCTCTTTCAGAGTTTTTCGGCTGTGTTTTGTAGGCTAGTAATGTACTCACTACCATATGCGCAGTGGCAGGCTTGCTAGCTATCCTCGTTAACCCCCGTTAGAGACCGAGGTCCGCACTCACGCTCAGCTGGTAGTTTTCCACACCCACCTACATACACCGTCCTACTTCTCCTCTGATGCTCACAACCACATCATCTCTTTCTGCGTGTTCTGTGTAGGCTTTGTTACTAACTTCATGTGCCACTTTAGGAGCAGCACTGTCAATTGGAACGCAACAGCGAATCGTGCAGGACTATCCCCAGCCGATGCTCCGAAACTTTACAATATTTAATTCGTAAATAAAATATTGAAAAAAGTTTCTTGCTCGTGCTGGGAATCGAACCCACGACCTTGCGGTCGTGAGACGAACGCTCTTCCACTGCGCCAATCCCGGCTGTTCCTGAATGTACTTGACACGGCTGTTTTGACATTTTTTGTATTGACCATTCCAGAACACGCGATTTTGACATGGTTTCTTGAGGGGCACACGAACTGTTAGGTTACCTTTGATGAGCATAGCCCTGGCCATCTCTGCCATATCCACAATATAATAACAGTTTCACCAAACAAAATTATGAACTTCTTCCTGGTTCCAACTCAGATACCAAGAAAAACGATCCCACTAATTCTGGTTCCATATGACAAATCTTGACAAAATACAATGTTTGCCACTCAGCGCCCTGTCGAATGACGTAATTCTGGAATGATTAATAGATCGCGTGCACGATGACCGATCCTGGAGGTAAAATATTGAAACACAACCTCACTATCCTGTGAATTATTGAAACACAACCTCACTTTTTTCATTTGTTTACAGAGGAATCAAAGGATTGAAATAGTTTTTCACAATATTTTGGCATACGAATCGTGTTTTTTGCGCTATTCATTAATTCAAGCATGCCTTTTCATTGTGCTATTGTACAATGCACAAAAAATGCAGCGAGAGACGAAGGAATATGATTTTTCAGGTAAATAGTAATCTCACATAGTTTTCATTATGGAATTTTGTCATTTCTTATTGAAATTCCTAAAATTCCTTTTGCCACTTCTGCAATAGAAGCTACACATGATCATATTTCGTCAAACCGGAGTCCTCCCGTTCGATTGCATGATTCCAATCTTGCATTATTTCAGAAATTTCACGAGTATTTCTATTAGCTCCTATCGCAGAAGGAATTCCGATGAGAAATCAGAGAAATTACCAAATTTCAAAAATGAAAACTATATGTGAGTGACTATAGTAGGTACTTACTCTTAAATCATAATGTACCAACCGGATTCCTTCGTCTTCCGTTGCAGTTTTTGTGGATTGTACAACAGTACAATGTGATGGCATGAGTGAATCAATGCATAGCCGAAAAATACGATTCGTATGCCAAAAACATCTGAGTTGCGACACGTGGTGGAGGCGCAGTTTGTTCTTAATAATGTCATATAACCTACTAGAACCATCTGAGTTGCGACACGATTATGTAATTTGTAAAACTATAATGACTTGTGACTTGTAACTAGTAAGAGAGGTGTTCCTAGATGACATTTTCATGTTTTTTGGAACGTAATAAAATTGATTAATTCATTCATTTTGTTCGATGCTTTGGTGATATTTCTTGAATTCTTGAATCCTCGCTCGATTGGACCAATATGTTCGATGCTTTGGTGATAAGTGGACTGTATATAATTGTGATTGTTTGATAAGAAATTGATGAAATGAGAATTGAAGAGAAGAGATTGAATCTTATGTTTCAACAACACTCGTCATGTTAACAACTCAAATGTTATTTTTATATAGGGTAATACAGAATACAGTTACCCAACTAATTATATTGGATGGAAGTATATATAGGGTGAAAGTACTGAACACAGTTGTTGTGCTGTGATTGATTGCGCCAACTTCCGTTCCAGGTGATAGCGTACAACAGGAAATCCTCGAGCAACAAGTCCGAGCCGGCCAAGTTGCGGTTCGACGGCGAGACGAACGTCAGCGTGGTCAGCAACTTCGTGGTGAAGGAGACCGATGAGACGATCTCGTTCAGCTGGGACTACGCCGGGGAGGCGGACGGGTTCAACGTGCGGCCCGTGGCCGGCATCGGCTACCCCGAATTGCCCACAGTGACTACGAAAACTAGGAACGTGACGATGCGGCTGGCGCCGGGGGTCAACTATCGCATCGAGGTACGGTGAGACTGTAGGAGGGTATTCAATGCCTATAGCGTTATTGGAAAATATCGACTAATCACATTACTGAAACTAGAGCTTCTGTATGACAAAAGAGATACTCGAAAATAGTTATTTGTTTAACTCGGCTATGAATTCAGCCTCGGCAGTCAATCTACTTTGCTGCTGAGTTGAACATGGTTGGTTGCTATGGAAATGTCCATAATGATTATAGTTTGACAATTCATGAAATTTCTGACAGTTGTGTGAAAAAATATTGGTATATTTAAATTATTATATAATGGACAGTGATAGCGACCTGGAAGTACTTACACCTCCAGAAATGAGGGAGGTGGCAAAAAATATAGAGTTGAATTTGTTGCCGGAGAAGTCTCGGATGACATGTGAAGGAAATTATAAACGATTTAAGGATTATTAATTTTGCTGATACATATCAATCATCAAAGTAACCATTTTGCTGCCTAGGCAGGAAAAGTAATACTTTGCTGATTGATATGTGTCAGCAAAATTAATATTTGCTGCCAATCGGAGAAAAAAAATATTCCACGAAAAAATCAAAAACTCAGACCGTACTACATACAGGGCGTCCCTTTTTCGAGCTCCACCATTGGGATCTCAGTTATTATAAGATATACGAGGTCGGTTGAATTAGAGAAAAGTTGCGCATTTTCATGCTGAACATCTCTCTGCAAGAAAATTCGAACTGTCATTTTTAGTTTTTGAATTATTGGAAGAAAACAGAAAATTTATAATTTTTGTTTTTATTATTTCAAGCGGAAACCAAGAAACCTAGACGTTTCTGACTGGGACATTCTCAAGGCACTTTCTTACAAGAAATCTGAATCTGTCATTGTATTTTCCATGACATTCTTGATGCCAAAGTTACAACACACAACTTTGTTTTTTTCTAACGGGTACCATATTGGATTTTTGCATTTTCAGGAAGTCTTTTTTTTTCTGATCACAATGATGTATCACACGATATGATCGAATCTTTTCTATTGAACAAAATTCGGTAAAAAACATTTTTGCAGAGAGTACTTTGTAACGCCAACAGTTTTGTTTAACAAGCTCCACAGTTTATTTGAATTTGGATCTGGAACGTTCACATTTTCGTCAAGCTCATCTACTTAAAAACTATGGTTTTGAATTAGGAACGACGTAATGAGCTAGAAGTTTATCTTCGCAAAACAAAACAACGTCTAAACACAATTCTGCGCGTTTTCTCAGATTCTGAATTGCTCGCGAGATGTCCCGTCTTCTTATCTTAGTCCTGAGAGTGGTGATTATGGTTCTTCTCAGCTCATCAATATCGATCGGTAACCGCGCTGGCCAACGTATGTCTCCGTTGTGATCTTGTCAGAAAAGGTAATATATCTGACAGACACTCGGCAACCCTTCTCGCGTTATGTAGATTAGCTTAAGAATTCAATAGTTCTGTTCGCATATTCAATTGAAATGTCAAAGTTCAGTTTTTCAAACAAAACTGTTGGCGTTCCTTAAAAAGCACTTGCAATTTCGATCAACAGAAAAGATTCGAGCATGTCGTGTGATACATCATTGTAATCAGAAAAAAAACCTTCAAAATGTAAAAATCCAATATGGCGCCCTTGAGAAAAAACAAAGTTGTTTGTTGTAACTTTGGCATCAAGAACGTCATGGAAAATACGATGACAGATTCAAATTCCTTGTGAAAAAGTGCCTTGAGAATGTCCTAGTCAGAAACGTCTAGGTCTTTTTTTAAAAACAAAAATTACGAATTTTCGTTTTCTTCAAAAAATTCAAATACTGAAGATGACACATCGAATTTCCTTGCAAATAAATGAAAATATGCAACTTTGCCCTAATTTAACTGACCTCGTATCTTTTATAATAACTGAGATCCCAATGGTGGAGCTCGAAAAACGGGCACCCTGTATAGTACATTAGGCAGAAGCACTACTATGTATGGAATAGAACGAAGCATTTCATGAAGCACTCTATGTCCATATTTCGAGCACCTTGTTGTTGTTCTCTCATGACAATATCCACACCGTGTCTGTTTTGCCTGTGCAATCACATGATGGTCTAAATAGGCTAACGAATAAGTGGAGATCAAAAATTGACACAAGTAAAACTGGTAAACATAGTATCAGACGAGCTGTCAGTGTGCCTGTTAGTATTTTGTGTGGTGTGGACGGGCTCAAAGTGTTATGCGATGTTGCAAGATTTAATCTACAACTTTCCTAGAATATAGATCCGTTTCATAAAGGAACAAATTCATCTGCAAAATGATGACTGACAAGTTATAATTATCATTTGTTGATATAATGCAAGTGATAAGTTATAGATACTATTGAAATATATCATAATTTTTCTTGTTTACTAAACTTCATGCAGCAAATGATAGATTAATCAAAATTATTCGTAATACTCTGCGAAGTAGGATTAAGAAAACCTATTATATCTCATTGCTGTTATGATATTGTTATAATTCATTCAAATAATAATGTATTGACAGAGGGTATCGTTTTTCATGTATGTGTGAATGTGGATTTTCTAGGTAGTATGTCATACAAATGGTGAAGGAGCCCAGTTCCTTTTTCAATAATTTTTTTCTGAAAGTTTATTTTACAAAAGAAATTATTAATTATGAATTAAAATTTTACAAACTTCACAGTGAGGTGAAAACCTCAATATTGGAAGCTTTCTCATTGATCAACAACAATTATGTCCAATCATATTTTTTAGTACAATAATTCCATGACGCATAAAACAAGTACATAATATTGATTGGCTAACAAGAGATCTGCGATTCATTATAAATGTTTTGATTTCCAACAGTTCCATCCCAAGAAATCAGCCACACATTATCTAATATTTGGACAAATGAAATTCTTCAGTATGTCGCAGATCCAAACCATTACCAAGTAATTGCTTCTTAGCTAAAGTTCAGAAATTGTTCGATCTCATGGAAACCTATCTAACCTGTTGTGAAATGTGATAAGAAATCTGAACTCGTATATAAGAGAGCAACATTATTTTCAGGTTAATGCTTTCAAAAAGACCCTCGTCGGTCCTACCATAGCTATCACCATCGGAAGGGAGGGAAAACCTCTACCGGAAATAAGTATTTCGCAAGCTATCGTTCTCAAAGTCGGCACCACTGTCAAACTCAGTTGGGAGAGGCCGAAGTATGTTAAGAAGCTTAATTGGATGTATGGCATTTACTATGGTACAAATCATGAACAACTTTTTGAAAGTAAGTACATACAGACGAAATTATAGTCTTCAATATGATGGTTGTCAAAACCGAGATGCTAGAATTAATTGGTCGCTAAAAATATAACTTCAATGAAATTATTAATTCATTTGTTACTTCTTCTGTGTGTGTTACGAACGAGACTGGAAAATAATGATAAAATACCCTTCAAATTGATTGTTTTCGTGGATAATATCGCTGTTATCATAGTCACCAACGAAGATTGTCATATTCTATAAGATGGTATGAATTGGCATTTGTAGTTTTGGTTTCTGAAATTTTGATAACAAAAGAAGAATCTTTGCATACTTTCAATGTTGAACTAGTTGTGAACTTCGCTAACTTCAATTCTGGTACTGAATCTTTTTGTTTTAACTTATTTCCCAACTCTCTATATTCTCTATATTCTATTCTATTTGTTTCCTGAATTTTCTTCCAGTCTCTTACTTGTAAAACTTGAATTTTCGGATATTTCTGCTCTGAATTTTATCAAGTCAACGATTATCAGGTCTTTTTCATTTAATATTTGTTTGAAATACATTTTATTTTCGACAATTTTCTATTTCCTCGTTCCATATTCTAAATCTATAATAATAATAATATTTATTTATTTCATTCTTTGCTATAAAGTTGGTGTCAGTCCGACTTTTCGCGGAAAAAGGCTCAAACTGTTCGAGAGAACCACAAAAATATTTTGATAATGAATACAAATTGGTGCTGTATCATCATAGTATGCTGTGTGGTGGTAAAAACACTAGTACAAATGTAAAGAATGTGGTTTGTAGGGATGTACATCAATTCAACTGAATGTTGCTTTCACTGTCACTTTTCGGACTTCTGCATGTGAATTTGGACTTTGAGAGGCATTGAGAGAAATATTTAGCTTCATATCTTGAAAATAGGACAATCAGTACCAAATCTGCTAATTCTGAATCTCATAAACTGTCAATGAATAAGGGTGTTCCACAAAGATCTGTTTTAGGACCAATACTGTATCTGCTTTATATTCAAAATATCACAAGTAATTATACCATATAATATGCAGACGATACAGTGCTTTTATATGAAAACAAAAATCCTGTAATTTCAGAAACTGTGATAAATATCGATCTGAAATTATTTGAAAAATAGAATAGAATAGAATAGAATTTTATTTGACCAAGTTACAATTCTTATGTTTTTGGCAAGTCACTGGAAGTACAAAATGTTTTTCAAAAACAATTACAGAATAAAATAAAATATACACCCAAGCTATCACAAACATACATACAACATTCTCACGAATCTAACAAATCTAAAATATAAATTTTGTTGTTTTCGAAATGAAATCAACACAAATTATCGAGAAGTGGGGGTGTTTTCAAATATTCATCAATAGAGTAAAAACAATGGGACAGCATGTTGTGTCTTTTCAGTTTCAATTTGAAGCAGTTATAATTGAGAATCTTGAACTCTTGAGGCAGGATATTATAGATAGATAGATATTCAATGAATTCATTCGGGATTTGTTGAGCCTATATCGGGGAGGCCTCAAGTCGTTTGCCCCACGAGTTTGGTACCTACTCATGAAAATCGGAGTTGGCACACAAAGTTCTTTTATTCTTGTGAATTTCCAGAAGAGTAGAGTAGATAAAGGGAGTAGATAGGGAAGGGACAGGCATAATAGAGAGTTGTTTGAAAATTTGTTGTGATTTCACTCTAACCTTTCATCAATAAATACCAGAAAAACTTATTACATGATTTACAACAAAAAAATAAACAGAAAATTCAGCTCAATCTTCTAATAAAGAACGAAGAAATTTTGAAATTCATAGTCATCAAACTAGACAATATAACTTATTTTACCTTGATGCTGCTAGTTCTACACTCGGACAAAAAAGATTCACTCATGCAGCCTTATCTGAGGTCAATAAACTACCAGAAAGAAAGAAAGTAAAAAAACTGATCATTTCTGAGAGAAATGTTTAAAATTTATCAGTAAGTTATGTCCATGACTAGAGTTCTTTTCTTTGTTCATTGATTGTTTTGTTTTATTGTGATTTATTGTGATATTCTGATTTATTATTCATGTTCACTTCTACTCATGTTTGTGTAGTAGTTCATAGATATTAATTCCTTATTATTTTATAATTATGTTCTTCCTCATACCAGAACTTGTTCTGACTGGAAGATATGTTTGATAAATAAATAATAAAAGAAAAAAATAACAGGGATCCCGTTTTATTCGAGCTTCCTGCTATATGCATAAGCTGGCATGTGATCGCGCCTTAAGACTTTGATAATTCCATTTCTTATTTGAATACCTACTTATAAAAGACAAGGTTGATATTGCATGATTATTTGCATTTTTTTTACTTGTTATTTCATAATTGTATGTATAACATTATGTAAATTGTTTATGTATCCCTATTATAAACAACTATGTTTCTTGGGGTAATAAAGACAATCAATCAATCAAAATCGAATGTTCTTGTCACAGAACCCCGATTCATCACACCCAACGAAACGGCCACCATCTCCGACCTCGAGGCCTGCGAGGCCTTCATCTTCAGCGTGGGCATCGTCGGCCCGATCGGCTACGGCCCTCTGTCGGGCAATTTCAAGCAGCTGACGACGTCGGGCAACGCCAAGGCCCCGCCCAAGCGGATCCAGGTGGGCCGGGAGGGCGACGACCCGCTCCAGATGCGCATCCAGTGGGTGCCGGCGTGTCCGACGGCGGCTCCCGAGTTCTACAGCGTGAGTAGATACAATACAAACACAACACAAATATTCAGTTCCATCAAACATACATTTTATTATTGAGAAGGAATATTCTCAGATATATTTATGAACACAAAAAAAATTGATATAGAGGCTGTTTCTTAAGTACGTGTAGAAAATTCAGGAGCATGTTGCTGACGTCGGAATAAGAAGAAAAGTTCGTTTATACAGGCTAATTTTAAAATGAGTGCATATATTCAAGACATATATATGAGAGAGTCTAACAAAAATTACTAAAATATTTGATTTTTCCTAAGTCTTCACATTAACGAGAAATTTCATTTTGAAAATTGAACATAAAATGATTCGAAATTCGAGTACGCCACTGGGAAGCAAGTGAAATCTGCGGAATCCCAGGGAATCCCCAATTCGTCATTCACTAACGTCAAAACAAGACAGTGATGCCAGATTGTTTCAGAGACGAATATCCTGATAAAAATTTGTCACAGAATGAATATGAATTGGAATAGGTTATGGAAACTAATAGAGGTGAATGTAATATGTACAGAAGCCTTATTTTTTAAAGTTTACTGAGAGAACTGTGGGGTGATTATCTCCATGGATCACGAGAGACGGAGAGAAACATGAGGGGAATGATAGAACGTCCCCCTTCCTTCAATTCGAAAATAAGGCCCCAGCGGGTAGATACAAAATTAGCAGACAATAAATAGGTACACAACATACACAAAGTTGAAAATCGACTCACCTAGTAGATTTTCTCATACCTGCTCGAACAGCAAAACTCCCGAGAGCAAACAAATACTAATATCGAGTCCATTCCAGACTAATATCGTCCTGTGTTCTTGTTGGTTCATATTCGCACTTAAACCATCGAAAACGACTCGACGACGACATATCCTTCCTGGCAATCTCAAATTGAAAATCATGATCACGACCATATCACGATTATCACGACACAAGACACAACATCCAATTATTTTATTTTTTATTTTACGTTTACAATTATTTTACAAACCAGCAACCACACAAACAAAACTATTATCATATGATCTGTCAACATCATTTCTCAGAACAGTAGTATCTGTGACCATAGATTTCCTCTTTGCTGTGACCTTTGACAGTACTAACTAGGATTGTTCGCGTTCAGAAAATAAACAATCCGAAACCGTCAGAAGCATGCACAAGTCCACAGAACCCAAAAAAATCATACAGTTCTGTGAAACTGCGCATGCTTCTGACCGTTTCGGACGCAAGAATTCAGATGACCATGAATTACTAATAGATGATTTTTAAGGATCAATCAGAAACAGCAAAGTAGCGCCTGCGTGGTTGCGATTCATCCTGATTGGACACAGCTGATTGGATTTGTGAGATTAGTGTATAGTGAGGAAGTATCATTTCATTGAATTAAACTAATAGATGTTTTTTCCAAATTAGTTTTTTATGAAAATGGTAGTTTCATTCAAAGATATGATCCTTCCTCACTAATACATTAATCTCAATCACCTGTGCCCAATCAGGGCGGAAAAAGGGTATTTTGCCCCAAATCTATTTTGATCCTAATAATATTTCCAATAGTGCTATTCGGTAGTATACCTCAAGCTTTCTTAGTGTTTAAAATATATGCACTTATTTTAAAATCAGCCTGTATACATAGGATAGGATAGGATAGATTTAATGAGCAGAATGAATAAGTGTCTTGGTTTGAATAATAACTTTCTTTGATAATCATAAATCAACCTTAACCTTCGGTGATCAGTAATTTCAGCAAAAATCTGAGCCGATTATACTCAGATAGTATATCTGCTCTCGAGATCTGTCACTTCCAGTGATTGTTAATTTCTGAATGGAACATCAACAGATTCAGTACTGGCAGTTGAATTCAGAACATAGCCATGGCTCCTACGACAACAATTTAAATGCCTGATTTTTATTTATTATTTTGGCGGTCTTTCAATAGTGTTTGTAGGAAAAACACTGTATGATTCTCTTGTTGAAAGTTGAAATCCATTCCAGATCCAGATTAGAGAGAACGCCACCACGCAAACCTGGCACCGCCGCGTCAACGCCACCGAACTCTACCGCGTGTTCAGCGTCTCCTATGGCGGCGTTTACGAAGTCAAAATGGCGTCGGGCTCGTTCAGCGGCCCCTACTCCAAGCCGGTCACATACACAGCCCCCTCCATCCAGGCCCCCTACGAAGTCAGGGTGCTAGCTGAGAGCAACGGCAGCTACATAATCTCTTGGAAAGAAAGCAGTTTGCCTAGCAACATTGGTAAATACCAATACGAGGTGTTGGTGCACGAAGGTAACACTTTGGACGAAAAATCCGCGCAGAAATTCGAGGTCGATAAGCCTCCGTTCGTTTACACGAACGGCTCTTTTGATATGTTTACCTTCGCGGTGCGGATCAGAACTGGGAAAGGTTTGAGGTCGGTTACCTCTGAAGCAGTGAGCAAAGAGATCAGCTTAGCCGAGGCTTCTTCTTCTTCTTCGATGAGCGTCAGTTCAGTGGTGGCTTGCAGCGTCATAATAGTCTCCCTCTTGTTAACTGTCATAGTTGTGCTCATGATCAGGTTCAGGAGGCTACAAGGGAGCTTCACGAGGTTCACTAATACTCATTATGACACCAGGTCTCAGGCGGCGACTTTCGACGAGAGGACTCTGGAGGAGGACGAGTGTCCTCAGATCAGAGGTTTTTCTGATGATGAGCCTCTTGTTATAGCTTGATGAGAGTGAATTTATTTATGTTTTGTTAGATGGGTGTCTGCCCGATGTTTTGTGTTGTTATACCAAAGTGATTTATGGAAACCAACTGTGGAATTGTATGGACTGATTTTATTTGTGAATAAAATAAGAGATATAGTTAGGAAAACTTTTTTTGATTATGAATGATGACATAATGACCCCAAGGCGTGCTTATTTATAATTTTCATTCACAAACACAATTACTTCAATATTTCTCTGTGTTGATAGATAGTGATCATTCCAAACTACGTAAAACGATTATTTCTCTAATTGAAGAGCTAATATAACATGAGAAACTTTTTCTATCTACATCTACTAGATCGAGCTAGGTAATTCAAAGTCTCGAAAGGCAACATTTTCACGGTTTTTGTGATTTTATACCAAAGTGGTGTAAGGAAACCAACTGTGGAATAAGCTAGTGGACTATTTTTTTAAAATTCTCAAATAGAATGATCACTCAAATAGCTTTCAATTCCATATTTTTTATAGATTTTTCGGTCGATTTTGAGGTGCTAAAAATTTTCAAATGGCTAGAAATTTACCGCCAGTTAAATCTGATGCCACGACTTCGTAAGTAAGGGCTGCGCATAGCACATATTAGTTATTCAATAATTCATAAATTGTCAATTGAGTATTGGTTATATTCCTAATTAGCAATGAAAATTCAATTTTCTCAATATGTTCCGTTATGATTTGTGGCTTATTGCTTATAATAGAAGGACCCCGCACTAAACTATAGGGAAAATGGCTCTCGATGAAAATCGCTGAATTTTTGGTATGTTGCAGACTTTGATATTCTGACAATTTTTCCGATATAGACCGCCAAATGTATTTTTTTTGAGAAAAAAAAGTATCTGAAAATGGTTGAATTTTTGGCATGTTGAAAATAGGAATGAACTGATGAAAAAATCCAATTGACCTAACCTCAAAAAATTGACAGTTTTTCGATATTGACCTCCAAGTGTACGTATGGAAAATAAGATGAATGGAACAATAATCAATAGACAAAGTTGCTATTTTCGAATTAGTATTTGGCATTTCATTCTTCTAAAAACAAATCTTCTTTATATGATACATCCACAGGTGAAGAAAACCGAAGAGAGGATGTTTTGAGATAAATATTATTTAAAAGATGTTTATATAATCTTTCCGGAATCAATGGGGTTGTAGGTATACACACTAGTTGAATTTATGCCATATATCTATTTTATTCTGATCATTTCATCTATTATAAAAGTATTCGATACACTCATTCATTCATAATCACCTCTCAGTAACACTACATAGCCGCCTTCAAGATTTATAGTGCACAACAACCAATGAGAATATTTCCAAATTCTTCATAGAACTGAGGATTTATTTCCACAGTAGGAGTGGGGTGTTGTGTACTGAAGTAAACACAATACATAAATCGTATGGTATAGTATAACTGCAATGGATTTATCGCGGTATATGACGTCATCACGCGTTGTCTCGCAATTTTCATGTTATGAAATATCGTGGATTTCAATAAATATTTACAATATGTAAAGAGATCTGAAGAGAAAACGGTTTGCGAAATTATTAAATTTTTTGAGGCTAGGTCAATTGGAATTTTTCATCAGTTCATTCCTACCTACAACATACCATAAATTCAGCCAGTTTCAGAGATTTTTTTTCTTGAAAAAATTGCATTTGGAGGTCAATATCGACAAAAGTGTCAATTTTTGGAGGTTAGGTCAACTGGATTTTTTCATCAGTTCATTCGTATCTACAACATGCCAAAAATGAAACCATTCTCAGATACTTTTTTTTCTCGAAAAACTGACATTTGGAGATCAATGTCGGAAAAACTGTCAATTTTTTGAGGTTAGTTCAATGAAAGATCTGTTTAGTATATCAAAGTCTGAAACATACCAAAAATTCAGCGATTTTCATCGAGAGCCATTTTCCCTATTGTTTATTGCGGGGTCCATTTGTGTAAATAATAATTATAATCATTCACACTAGAGGACATTTTGATCGGTGAACGTGACAACACGGCGCACGTGTGGGCGTGGTCTTGTCAGTTCTCAGCATTCAGCACAATGTTGCCAAGTCTCCAACATTTATATGATATTTTGTTATGGAGAATAAGAAATATTTTGACATGTTGGTTGCTCGAAAAAGTCAAAAATGAACTATAATATCATGGGTTCCTCCTATTATGTTTTATTCAACGACAGGACTCGAACATCTTTTTGATAACTTGATTAAAATTGGTGACTCGACAACCTTGCTTCATGAGTGGAAATGGAAAATTACCTGACCAATAACGAAACGGCATAAAATCTGACGTCACCATTTATTCAACGTATCGCCAAATGCCGGTCATGACGTTACGTTTGAAATGAGCTCTGAAATTGAACAATTGTGAATAAAATAAGAGATATAGTTAATAAACAAATTCGGTTTTTCATTCATCATTCTCTAATTTTTTACTTGGCGATAGTTGGTTATAAATATGGTATAAACCATTTTAGCAGTCTAATGATTGAATTTAAAATTTCCAGTTGGTGAATCCTGATTTTCTTGGTACTTGATTCAAAAACTGGAATGAAGAAATTTGTACGGGATGAGAAAATTGTTATTGACCACACACAAATGTTTGACAAAAAAATGATTAAATACAGAAAAAAAGTTATAGTTTTTCTTGATTATGTATGAATCATGTCAAATAAAAACCATTTGTTGAAGATAATATTTATTCAGTCATAGTGTATGGGCTTCGACTTGATATAGTTTGAAATGTTTATACAAGGCAATTCTGTTGTTCTGGTTGTACTATGTATTGCCATTTTGCTCTTCGAATATTATACTGAAGCATAATTTGGTTTAGGATTTTCTACTTTTATGGATGTTGGAACAAAAAGAGTCCCTTCAAATTTGAATTCAGGAAAAAATCGTGAAGATATAGTTTCATCTCCTCCACCATTTTTATGACGTACTGCTAAGAAAAGTCATATACGCCAGTACAGTCAAATTTTGCTCATATTGACATATTCAACAATTCGTATGGATCGGAATTGGATGATTTCTTAAAATTATACAAATACTGAATACCTGATGAGATAGGAATTTTAGACGAAACATAAATATCAGTGTAGCATAATAATTGACGATTATAAAATTATGGGTATAAACCAAACAACAATGATGCTGACAACTCGTTGATCATTCTAAATTGAATTTCTGTTGAAAGGTTGAAGAGATATTTTAATTTCTCCAAAAAAATTATAACTCGAGTCTCACAACAGTGGTTGTAAACCTGATTTACACCACACTGAGAAGTATTTCGTTTACATTTTTGTTGCAGGTTTCAGGCTAGACAAATATCGCCAAATGTCACTAGATCTAGGTAGTACGACATAGTCTGCTTCATTAATAATTTTAAATTGCTGTATTTTCAAAAATTCAAATAATTTCTATAGCCATTTTAGACATCAGAATAATTCTAACACTAGGTAGTTGAAATATAAATCTATGATAATTCATTATTCCAAATTTTTTGGGATTTTCTCTCCTCGTTTCTGTAGAATAAAAATATGAATATTATTTCAATATACGTGTAGTAAGGACAAATCAGATGATTTGCCCCAAAATGTCACTGCGTTTAAAGAATTTTCCTATCAGAGAGCCTAAAAGAAAAATTCACTAGCTTGTCAGTGACAATTTGTATTGAAAAATTTTTGGAGAAGAGAAATAAAGGTATATAGAAAAAATATCAAATTTTCACTTATCTTTGGACGTTTCGGGACCGATTCTGCTCCCGTTTTCAACATGAAGAGATTTTTTCAATTGCGAAGTCGTATAATATGTCTTGAAGCTTTTCTATATACCTTTATTTCTCTTCTCCAAAAATTTTTCAATACAAATTGTCACTGACAAGCTAGTGAATTTTTCTTTTAGGCTCTCTGATAGGAAAATTCTTTAAACGCAGTGACTTTTTGGGGCAAATCATCTGATTTGTCCTTACTACAAGTATATTGAAATAATATTCATAATTTTTGTTTCATAGAAACGAGGAGAGAAAATCCCAAAAAATTTGGAATAATGAATATACCACCTCCTGGATCAACCTACAGATAGTATTTCTATGATAATTCGTTCGAGGAGAACTAACTCATTATCTCTGGGTGAGCCCAGTACATTTGAAAATGCTTTTGTTATTAATTTCAATTTGAAAAATCTCAAACTGAAAAAATAACCTCCAAACATTCCACACTCCAAAGTATCGAATGTAATTTCCTTAAAAAATAACATGAATACAAAACAAACCTATATCTGTTCCCACCCAGTCCTCTCCCCATCAATCATTTTAGCACCTTCCTTCTGAGCTTTCGCTTCTCTATCAAACCCCTTCCTAGACCTTTTACGCCTACACAAACTGATCGCCAACAACACCACGACCAACAAAACCACCGTCAGTCCCGCCAAACAAATCAAACCAATAGCAACCGGCGACAAGCTCATCGGCAACCGGCTGCGCTTCGCTTCGTTCTCGCAGTCGACCCAATTGGTCCAAGTGCCGTTCCACCTGCTAGGATCCGCGTTGGGGTCCCTAGGCACGTTCCTAGGGGCCACGGCGGATAAACGAAAGCGCATGATAGCCCTCTCCAGGTTGGTGACTATGTTGGGGCGGACAGCGGCGAGGTTGGTGCGTTCGCAGGGGTCTTCCTCGATGTTGAAGAGGCAGGGGGAGTCTACTAGGTTGCACTTTGTCGATTCCAGTTGGTCCTCACCTGTGGTGTAATGTCTAGTTATTTATTATGCAAGGGAAATTATTATTATCTTTATTATTCCCAAGAAACATACATGTTTATAGCAGGGAAAATTATGAAAGAGCAACTAAAAAAAACAAAAATTAGATAATCAGATAATCATTTTTAAATATTTTCGCTAATGATCTTATACTTTATATTCGAAAGACACATAATGTTCATGTTACGTGTTATGCAGATGATGCGAATATTTTGATTGTTGATGAAGATATAAATAAGCTGAAAAGTACTGCTGACATGGTTTATTCGAATATTGAGAAATGGTCAAAAAATAATAATCTACAATTTAATCATGGAAAAACAATAACTGTTCTTTTTGGTTCTAGCAGAATTGATGTAATCAAACTAAACTGGGCGTCAATTGAAACGTTAATAGTGAAATTTGGCATCAAGTTTGACTTCTCGTAATTTCTAAAATATTGAACGAATTTTGAATTGCCGCCCACTCGCCCAGATTCTGAATGCCTTTTTCATCGTCTTTCGAACCGTTCCTTACAGCTTCTTCTAAATTGATCAGGACCCGTGATACGGGGTGAAACAAAGTTTCGTGCATTTTGAAAAATATTTCTCCGCCCCCCCATTTTGTCGGAGGACCACGATGCTCATATTTTATTCGGGCATTTCATAAATAGCAACCATACCTCGGGACGTTTTCGAGTTTTTGCCAAAAACTACTGTGGTTTCAGAAAAAAATTTTTTTGCATTTTTTTTAAATGGACTAATTTTAGAGGAGTTCCATAAATGGATGCTCTTATGCATATCAGGAAAGCGTTTGAGCAGATATGTATACCAGGTTACTCAAAAACAATCAATAATTTATTACTTCACAGTCTATGATAAAAGTTTTCTACCTTAGTGAGCAGTAAATCAACACATCTCATCAACAAAGATACCTTGTTTCTATAACAACGTATTGTTGAAACAATGTAGGTATGCATAGAGGTTATATCAATTGCCAATTTTCATGAAAACGTCAGTGTTATTCCGGTCCTAAAAGATTTAAAGATGCCTCGTTCAAATCGGGTCGAAATGGAAAATATCATTAGGTGAGATCACTATAGTGATATAAACTAAAATTCAGTAAAGATAATTATTATTTCAGGTTACGACGATTAGGATATACCCAAACTTATGAAAGTACCATTCTCAATAAGTCAGATATGACAATAAATAGACTGATTCATCGTTTTCAGGTAGTAATGTACTCCTCTAAAATTAGTTAATTAAAAAAAAATGCAAAACAAATTTTTTTTTCTGGAAACCACAGTAGTTTTTGGCAAAAACTCGAAAATGTCCCAAGGTATGGTTGCTATTTATGAAATGCCTGAATAAAATATGAGCATTGTGGTCTTCCGACAAAATGGGGGGGCGGAGAAATTTTTTCCAAAATGCACGAAACTTTGTTTCACCCTGTATCACGGGTCCTGATGAATTTAGAAGAAGCTGTAAGGAACGGTTCGAAAGACGATGAAAAAGGAATTCAGAATCTGGGCAGCAATTCAAAATTTGTTCAATATTTTAGAAATTACGAGAAGTCAAACTTGATGCAAAATTTCACTATTAACGTTTCAATTGACGCCCAGTTTATTTGAAGGTTTTTATAATGAAATAACAAGCAGCATGTCAGTAAAACTATCGGGAGTTACTTTCATATTAATAATTTGTGCAAAAAATTACAGAGTAGCTGTTATAGTCTGAAATTTATGAAGAACCACTGCAGTCGGCACATACTACTCTCGTTGTACTATGCCAATTTCTATTCCCATATGAAGTACGTGATCATGAATTGGGGAAATTGTGCTCATGTAAATAGAGTACAGGTTCTTCAGAAGTATGCAATTCGAATTCTTGCTAGTGTTGATATGAGAACAAGTTGCAGAGCATATTTCAGAACAGCCAACATCCTAACCATTGTTAGTTTGTATAAACTTCATAAAAATAAAAACATGTTTTTGAATACTGTTGAGAAGCACAATCATAATACACGCTTCAAAAGCCACCTTCAACCTGAGAGACACCGGACAACGTTGTACCAGAAAAGTTTTTATTATACTGGATGTAAACCATAGTACAGTATAGTATGTATAACTCTCTTGAAGAAACGTTCTGCTCTTGTTTCCACTGCCAACTAAGTTTTATATCACAATTTCATTAAACTTGTACCCTCGTACTATTCGCGAAAATCACGAACCAATAGATGGCTCTATTAAACGTCAAATCAACGTCAAATTTCCAACTGAGTATGAACAACAAACACATTGCCGTATGCACTCATTGCAAATTGGTTATTTCCAAATCATTTTACAAAATAGTGAATGATAAGTTGACTTCTTGAAATACGTACAAGGTTTCCAGTATGGAAAAAATTACTTTTTGTGCAGAGAAATTGCCATTTTGATGTGGACAATGGTGGTATTCATCATTGATATCACACTACAATCCCACAGTTTTCAAACATAACAAAATGATCGAAATGGTCCACTCAACACTTGCATGGTGGAATGGAACCATACAAGCAATCAGCTATTACAACAATATAGTATGGGTATGAAGAAATAATTGAATTCATCAAGAAATATCACTGGCTTTTATGAAGGAGATGGAATTCTAGTGAAGGGGCTGGGAAAAGAAGATATGGTTGGAAAGGGTGCTCAGAATGAACAATATCATCGATTTACATAAACAAGGATCTCCAGCAATTGAGGACTTCAAGTTATTCTCAAGATCGAATCACTGCAACCAACATTTATACAATGATTCTAATTCAAATGTATATTATATTATTATAAGGTAGGTACTGGTTTCTTCATTGTAAACAATAAAAGTTCATGCAATAATTCGAGTTTTTTCATCAGGGAGAAATGAGGTTCTGGAATATGCACTTCAACAAATGAATTATTTTGGAATAAAACACATATTTATGAAATTCAAAACAATGGTCGCCATATTTGTTGTTCATACTCGCAAGACTTGTACAGTTAGCCACCAGAGGCCGCACACTTCGTGATTTTCGCGAATTCGAGAGATTCACGAAGTGGGCGACATCTAGGTTACATAATACGAACTTCAAACTGGGGGAAAACAAACTGTTGTCTATGAATAAAGTGCATAGACTACATTGCATACAGCATAGAGCAAAATGTCTGCCAAAAGAACATCTACAACAGGCATTATTAGCGTTTTCGATCGAATATTGACAATTAATGTCAAGAAATTTAAAAACTTATCACTCTTATCAGTACACAGTACACAAGCTAATGGCACTGATGGGATTGAGTGAGGATTGAGTGAGGATTGAGTTTGTTTTCCCCCAGTTTTGACGTGGCTTTGACATGGAACGATGAAAACCGAGCGCCACCTGGTAACATTGCGGTACAGGAAATTTTTACAGGAGCATGAAAATGAAGGTAATTGATTAGTCTTCAAGCTCAAAAAGTTTCAGAACCGTATTATAACCCCTAAAAAAGTTCTGAAGAAAATGTCAGGGGGTGAGGGTGATTTTAACCCTTCTACAATTTCTTTCAGGTTTCTTCGATTACCAAAAGGAAATTAAACCTCTGAAATACACTATTGCCAAATTTCATCAATTTCGTTCCACTTGTTTCTGAACAGCGTACAAAAATGTGTTTTTTCATGTGAACTTTGAACCCTTCTCACGGACAAACGGTACATTGTGGCACAGAAATAAATTGGGTCCAATCAACTTATTTTGACCTCCTATACACGTGGTAGCTCTGTGTCCCAGCAGTTTTGCGACACCCTGTATATGGTCGTAGCATACCATATTGTATTTCCACCATGGTTGATTACACACCTAGGGACGGACACTTGACGGTAGCGGCTGCCCGCAGCTCTGCGATTTTTCGCTTGTCCATGAGCTCGACGCTGAAGCTCTTCTTCTCGTTCTTTTCCCGCATCTGCTGGTAGGTTATCAGTCCTGCAAGGGCGCTGTTGACTTTGGAGTGGAGAATGGCGTTCTGGTCGTAGTTGTAGAGTGTATTTTTGCCGGCATCGCCGAACCATTTGTCGGCTTTGCCCTTATTGGTGGATCCGTAGACGTACTTCCATTTGCCTTGTCTGATGCCGCCGTAGTTCAGCACGTCGTCTATGTTGTATACGAGTTCTGTTCTTGGGCTCGGTGTGGCTTCGGAGATGGCTTCCCACATGTCGAGACCGTCTAGGTTTGATGGCAGTTCGGTCTTGTTCAAACCTAACGGATATGATAGTTTGAGTGTTATTGATAATAATAATAATAATCATAATTTTTATTCAGTAGGATCATCAAATATGATATTGAATAGGTCAAAGAAAATACAATACATTAAGGCTGTGTCAAGTCATTCGTTTGACCACAGTGGTAACGCCAGGATGGCCAATGGTTGACTCGACTCCCATCAAAAGTTAACGTGGAACTTTGTGGGCAGGTTTGAAACGTGGCCGATATTCCCAAACAGCTGGTTGGTCAAACCGATGGTCAGACTTCATACTGAACGTATGTACCCGGTCAAACCACAGACTTGACACAGACAATAGGTCGCGTGCACGATGACCGACCTGGAGGTAAAATCAGACAGGTCGGATCTGTGCCTTATAGATCATAAGCAGCTGACTGGAAGTGAAATAGCTCCTGGCCCGAAACAGAAGTTCTTGGGATGCACTTTTAGCATTTGATCTCACGTGATTTTCTCAAGAAAGGTTATTGCTGATAGTAATACCAAGCATCGAAATGGATGTCTTCAAAGGTATGGTTACTCCTGACAAGCTCATGTTGGGCACAGTGAGATCGGCTTTTCTATAGAAAAGGCATGCTTGTGTTTTGTTTGCATTGAAATCTACCAAGTTATTGGATCCTCATTCGAGAATTGTTGCCAAGTCTATATTTATGTTGTCAACATTTCTCCCTCGTTCGTTTCTGATTTGCATGTATTGGAGCCCTGGAAGAGAAGGCGGTATGGAGGGTACTATCATCTGCGAAGCTGTGTACTGGACATGAAGTTGCTTCCAACAAATCGTTGATATGGAGTAGAAATAGTGTTGGTGCTAGAATTGATCCTTGCGGAACACCAGCATTTATGATAAGAGAGTCAGATGAAACTCCGTCGACCACTACATGGAGAGACCTGTTCGAGAGAAAACTAGCTAGCAGAGAACATAGCTGTGGAGGCAAGCCATAAGAGGAATCCGTGGTGCCAGACTCGATCGAATGCCTTGGTGATATCAAGTGCCACGGCTAAAGTTTCACCATATTTTTCAATAGATTGCTGCCATATACCGGGTGGCTACGGAAGTATTGCCTACGGAATATCTCAGTTATTGTATGAAGTAGGTTTGTGAAATTTGGAGCGTCGATATAATGACATATGAGCTAGAATTTGAGCATATTGACATGTCGAAGTTAACTTCTGGTCTAACCGGAAGTAACATCAACTTTCTTATTTTAAATGGAATCCCATTTTTTTTTTCTTTTCGCTTTATTCAGCATTCAATTCCCTTTCTAATGACATATCACAAGTTGGTATCTAACCAGAAACTAGATCAGAAAAAAATTATTATTGAAATCCACCGAGTAGTCCGTGGAAGCAAAATGAAAGCCAAAAATTGAAAAGTTGGCTATGGAAACCATACGTCACTTGATAACAGTTGCTACTACTGTGATGTTTCATTTTCATTCGTCGGCGTTTTAAAAAGCCGCCAAAAAAAATATTGGAAAAATTGGGAAAAAAACAATACTCTGTAGGTCCATAACTTAAATAGGAACATACAACTTTTTCTTGCCTGTACTATTCAGCATAACCATTCCTTTCTGATGATATAATAGAAAGTCATTTTTGAAATGAAATAGCAAAAAATCCAATTATTATTCTTCAAATAACAAAAAAACAGATTTATCGAAAAAAGAAATAACGCCGAAGAATGAAAATGCAATATCACAGTAGTAGCAACTGTTATCAAGTGACGTATGGTTTCCATAGCCAACTTTTCAATTTTTGGCTTTCATTTTGCTTCCACGGCCTACTCGGTGAATTTCAATAATATTTTTTTTCTGATCTAGTTTCTGGTTAGATACCAACTTGTGATATGTCATTAGAAAGGGAATTGAATGCTGAATAAAGCGAAAAGAAAAAAATTGGGTTTCCATTTAAAATAAGAAAGTTGATGTTACTTTCGGCCAGACCGGAAGTTAACTTCGACATGTCAATATGCTCAAATTCTAGCTATTATGTCATTATATCGACGCTCCAAATTTCACAATCCTACTTCATACAATAACTGAGATATTCCGTAGGCAATACTTCCGTAGCCACCCGGTATGTGAGACGTAAGTGAGCAGGTCACGAATAATTGATCTCTGATGACGGAAGCCATATTGCCTATCGTTGATAATACCTGAATGTTCCAGGTATTTCATGAGCTCGATGTTGATAGCTTTCTCCATGATCTTTGAAATGATAGATAGCAGTGCGATCGGTCTGTATAGTTGCTAGGTAGGGTCTTTTTGCCTTTTTCAGGAACTGGTTGTACTCTTTCAATTTTCCGATTGGACGGGAATATCCCCAATTTGTAAGAGTAGTTGAACAACTTGCAGAGAACAGGTGTTAGTTCGGGAGCACATTTCTTGAGAACAATCGGTGGGTCAGATCTTACCTGCTGCAGAATAGAAGGTAGGCAGCCAGTCCGACAGGTGCATCAGGTGGTTGGACACTCTTTGATTCCTCTTGATGCGAGGGCTCCAAATAGCTGCTATGTTCCTTTGGGCCCCTTCCCAAGCAGAATGTTTGGTCTACAATGAACATTGAAATATTGAGATTCAGAGATGCTTGTTTGGATAATATGACCTTACCCCTCTGAATGGAAAATTCGAGCCATGGTTGGCGTGGATACCTTGAGGATTTGCGCCGTTGTCTGATATGAATAATATGATGGAATTGTCCAGCATGTGCTTTTCTCTTAGGGCAGAAATCACTGTTCCGACGCTTTGGTCCAACATTGAGACCATTGCTAGCAACAAAATAGTGCATCAAAATCTTTGGTAGAAGTTCATGGTGACTCAAAGTGTAGTGATGTAGTTCATTAGAATGTTCAAAGATCAATCGTAATGGAACATGTTCGGGCTCATACAGGGTGTTTCAAAAAAACCTGACCACCTTACTAGGGTAGGTAGAACACCGCAAAATAAGTAATATATCAAGATACAAGGTGTTGAAAAAATTATTTTTTCACACATTTTTCAAGATTATGTCGAAACCACTGGCAACATTGTGATGAAATTTTTTATGGACGTTTCTTGGAATCTGACACATCGCATGCATTTGTTTTTATATCTGACTCTCATAGAGGGCGCTATAGTAGTTAATCTGCCTCAAATTATCACTGTGTAACTGGATCATACTTATAGTCTTTCAGGAGTTAGTACGGTAAGATCAATTCTTATTCAGGGATAGATCATCTTCTCTGTCTTTTGTGAAGATCATTTATAGATGATTGTCTTGATGATTCCAGACAAAATAGACATAACCTAAAAACTCCTAGAAAATAATTAGAATGTTAATATACAATATTGTTTAGATGTATTGAGTAACATTGAATATACGTTATAAAGTAACATTGATTTTATGTGATTCCTGATATATTTATACAATATTTACCATCAACATTACATTGTAATATTTAAAAGAGGCACAAAGGCCTATTCCCGCAACGTATCTGTGACATTAAGCATCTCTCTGAATAACATCACAAAGTAACAATGTAATATAACATTTATGTTTAAGTAATGTTTTCATGTTTAGTGGGATATGAGCACATATATAGATTTCTAGCAAAAATGGCAATCATTTTTTAATTTTACTTAATGTTCAAGCACCCGCTAATTTATTTGTTAAGACTTAACTCTGTACATCTCGTTCCGTTTTACCGACTTTTACCTGCATATATTCGTCTTTCTGGATCTTGGATATGGGCAAATTTGGCTATTTCTTCATCAGGAGCCTGAAGCGGATCATTATCGTTTCCGGTATGCGGGGCAAGGTGTGACAAATACAGAAACATCGGGTTTTTGGTATCGTGTTCTCTGATCAATTTGACCGATTCTTCTGTGAACAGAGTCGTACTGTATTTTCCCCTGGCGCTATAATCTGGCACCATGTTTCTTCGCATGTCGTAGCCTTCTTCAGGACTATACTAATAACAAAAATCGCAATTTAAATAATTTCAAGCCAAAAATGCCATTCAGTTGGGTATTAGATCAGTTGAATGTGGCTTTCCAGAAAGACATTCACGTAACTAACGCATAAACATCACATAATTTTGTTGATCAGTTATGCGTAACAAAAGAGGTAATAAGTAGTTTCAAAATTTATGAGTTGATTGTGCATAATGTCCGCAACCCGTTATATCATACGTTACATCAATTCTATGTAATACTAGTCAGATAATTGTAACATTAATGAGATATCAATGTGACGAGACACACCACAGAAGTGTCCCGTGACATTTCCGTGGTGTTCCGTGACATTATCGTGGTGTTCCGTGACATTTCCGTGATGTTCCGTGACATTTCCGTGGTGTTCCGTGACATTTCTGTGGTGTTCCGTGATGCAGTCAGTGGGCGTGACCTCCAACCAGATGCTGGCCTCTGATTGGCTTGAGCCAGAACAGACATATAGCCCCTATCTGATGGCAGAATCTAGATAACAATTACGTCTAACTTATATAATTGCAAGGTTTATGAATAACAAAGAATAAGCAGACTGATTAATTGTTCTAAAAAAAATTGACGGCATACGTTTGTGAATATACCGAATGTGTTTACAGGGTTGAAAGAGTTGCTGGTGATCCACCTGAATTTTTCACTCTTTCATAAAAATCGAACATTTTGAAGAAGGTTCATTAGGAAGATTTTATTTATATGTTAGAGCTCACGAAAGAATATTCCTATGATGTTATAATAATATAGGTGTTGTTTTTTTTTTTTGGTTATAATAAGTTCTTGGGAATACTTCCATTGGCAAAGAATTCCAAAGCTTCGCCTTTCTATAGACGATCAAGCTTTGGTAGTGTTTCGTTCGACATTTTTCAATGTTAACGAGGAACATTTTCCGTGGAAGTATCTAACGGTGTTCTGATGAGGTCAAACAGTTAGTGAGTGTGACATCACCCACCAGGCGAATGGCTCTACTGGTTTGGGTGCTGAACCCTATACATGGTAACAATATTTTCAAACTGTCCGGATCTGTGATTTGTAGATCATGAGAAGCTGTTAGGGAGTTTTTGTGAAGCAGCTTTTGTGATGGATCGGACATGATTTTTCCATGAGAGAGTATTACTGATGGTAATACTGAGCAATGATAAAGTGGTCTTGGTGGGAATGGCGGTACCAGATATTGTTATATCAGGCATACTCAGTTCCGCCTTACTTTGTTTTGTTCTTACTCAAGACTCCATATCTACAATTCGAAATCTGGACCCATTGCCAAAAAAATATTTTTTTTATTGGTACCTAACATCAACGACCCAATAAACTTGGAGTCTGAATCAATTTAATAATCGATCTGATAAGAGTACTATGTGTAACGTTAAATAAAATATCTCTCACAAGTGATAAACCATTATTTCATTATTAGTTGTTATATTTTCAATGGTGTGTTTTAACTGAAAGAATTTGGATTTTTTAAACTAGCGGACTTAAAATGAGCTCATGAAAATTCTGTTTCAGGCAGTATCTGGGTTTCGCCCTGTAGATCTGGAGCAAATGAAATGGTTAGGTAGTACGTAGGTACTTTATTCTGATATCGTACTGAATATCAACCTTTCTTCTTTTTTTTATTTATTTTGTTCGGTACAAAATTTTTCGCGGTTTTTTCAACGTGTCAACTATACAGAGTCTATAGGAAAATTAGGTTCGATAAATAAGACTTGATCAAGTATGAAAAAAAATCGAAAAAATCGTATTTTCTGTGTTTCCCAGCAATTAATGAAGAAAGGGTTATTCATGGTCAATTATCCACAAACATGAATAGAATGCTGAAATAATTATAACTTAGCCATCGGAACAGAATTAAATTTGATGATCATAAAGCATTCCTTCGATAATTATATTTTTTTATATATCATTGTCGTATCATTATAACAAATCAAAGACCTTTGTTTAACAGAATCAGGGGAATTCCGGAAAACAAAAAAAATAATTTGAAATTCGTTTATAATCTGATTGCTTGGAATCTATGTACTATGTATATTCGCCTTACAGCATTGCATAAAGGATGTCCACGAATTTTTGTGCATCAAACTTATGGCTGACATAAGATATGAGCATTTCTGATAGAATATATTATAGGACAAGCATACAGGGTGCTCCTTCGAAAACGGAATAACGCAAGGCATTACAGGCTGGTAACCTTCAGCTCCCTGAGTGAGGAGTGCTATCCCCAAATGTTTCTGAATGGGAATGGGGGTTGAAGTGATACCTTATCAACAAGGGTTTTGAATTATCTATACATTCCAAAGAAAAAACAAAATACACCAAGTCGGTCGACCACAAAATTATATTACACAATTACTAGTGTGACTAGTTTCGGCTAAACAGCCATCTTCAGACACAAATTGAATAAAGTACCTGTAAGAGATGAAATTACAGACGAACAATAAGTTTGCTGAGGAAAAAACATACCTAGGCCATGTGGTGATTACAAATTCAACAAATAAAAAATCAAGCGGTTATTTCAACGTAAATAATCAGTCCGGTAAGGGGGTGATTAAATTTTTATGACGGCTGAACAGCCAAAAGAACCTTATAATCTTACTTCGGCGATTCCTGGATTTCTGTCTTTCAATAGCCATCCAAGATGAAACTCAGTTGAGTGAATTTAAATAACTAATTTTTTTCGTGCCAATGTTGAACCTCATGATTTACCGTTGCATGAGTCATGTGACTGTAGTAGTCCTGCAGCCCTTGCCAGTACCCGTAGTGTGTGTCGAAGCCCCTGTATGTGGGCGTGTACTCCTTTTTGAAAAAGCCCAAGTGCCATTTGCCCACAGCGTGGGTGGAGTAACCGTTCCTTTTCAAGTACTGAGGCAGGATGGTCTCGTTCAAAGGCAGTCCCCATGGTTCTGGTTCCAGAATGACCAATTGCTGCATTCCTATATTAGGAGAAATGACACTGAGGTATGTAGGGTAGATAAGATATACAGTATGTCCAAGATAAGGTTGCACTGCATGGGGATCTCGGAAACGGTAGGAGATACGGAGTCGGTTAAATAGGGAAAAAGTTGCGCATTCGGAGGCTAATACCAGAATCCTTCGAAAACTTCCAAAATTGTTTTTAGTTTCTCAGTTATATCGATAAAAGTGAATTTTTAGAATATCTATTTTCAACTGTAACGATCAATAAAACTGTAGAAGTTTTTCAATAAAAACGAATTTTTTATTTCTAAATATCCTGAACCCCCTTTTTGCGCGCCACTGGTACTAATTATCCCCAGTAGAAATCCTCCTTGCAGTTTAGATATGGATTGTTCAACTAAAAGAGGTTACACATTTTGAAATAAAAATGGAATTCCATAAAATGGCGATTTTTTTCCATAGCAACGCAATTTATCAAAAAACGTTCAAAGACGTCTCGAGGTATCGGACCAACCATTCATCCAACATCTAAAGAAGAATTTTAGGGTCCCTCACATTTCCCAAATTATTGTTCAAAAATTTGAAATTTTTCCGGCTCTTAATTCACACTCTGTACAAAGAGAACGAATCGCAAAAATAAAAACCCGACGCCAATGACGCGTAGACCAAGGATGACGCTTTCAACCTTTGGTTGAAAATCCAACATCGGTCAAGAAATGTTCGAGTTACAGCTTATCAAAATCAGTCAATTTTTTTACTGTCCCACTTCATCTGGTGAGTAGGTTATATCAACTGAACAGGAAGCAATGCTGTTGTCTCCGTTTAGAAGAATGCAAGCGGATTCCTTGATTTTTCTTCTTTGGTTGACAGTATTTTTTTTCTCCGTTATTATTAGGGATACAGAAAAACTGGGAACACTTTTTCATGGCAACTTTCGATGACGGTCAATGTGGTGATACCAATTTTTTCATGCGACGTTTCGTAGTCGTAGAACCATCATCAACTTTTGTTTTTCAAATACGATCCTCATAACTTTTCTACATATTCTGAAAGCTTTTTTCATTCTGAATTCAACCATGTATTATACAAGGTGATTTGAATGTGTTTCGACCTATTTCTATCTATCATCAATGTTTTTTTCGAAATTCCAAAGGAAAAGTGCCATCAGTTCCACTTATTTCTGATCACTTAGTGCCAAAGGTTGATGGATTAGTTATTCAATACTGAAGAGTGAATAAAAAATATTTCACTAAATTATTCAATGCAGCGCTACAAATTGTAAATGAATTATTACACGACTTACTTTAATAAAACTTAACTTTGACAATACCAACAGAAACTTTCATAACAAATGTTCAAAATGATAACCATCATTTTCTAAACAAATGAGATATTGAATGCTTCGATGACACTGTCCCGTAGTTCTTCTTTATCATTAAACTTGTTGCGTTAACAAAGATTTTGATACATCCCCAAAGAAAAAATCCAGCCGTGTCAAATCAGGCGACCACGCCGGCCAAGGGACTGTAGAATGAGTACCAATCCATTTTTCTGGATAAAAACGCACAAACTTCTCTGGAATTATGTACCGGAGCGCCGTGTTGTTGAAACCAACAGTTCTAAACTTACGCCATCGGTAAATTATCCAGAGCTTTCTGAAGATGATTCTCAAGCAAATTTCTATAACGTTCGGAAGTCAATGTTTCATGGTAAATATAAAAGAATCAAATATTGCAACCCACATGTTAAAGCCGAAAGGGTGTTGGTGTCTCGCTGTTTTGTATAAATGTTCATTTTCTTGTGAACAATAATGTGTATTTTTTCTATTGAAGATACTATTATGCCATGCTTTCAGTCCAGATAATTTTTCGAGGAAAATCTTCAGAATTTTGACATGTCCTGGTATACCACTCACAGAATGTCCTGCACCTTTCGTCATCGCCTGGTCTTAGCGCTTGACATATTCTGAATTTGTATGAATGGAGTTTTAGTTTCCGCAAAATGAAATGGGTTGTTGATTGGAATCAGTTGATTTGGTATTAGTGTGTTGACTAATTTTCCTTCAAAATAAGTGGAACTGATGGCATTTTTCCTATGGAATTTGGAAAAAACATTGATGATGGCTAAAAATAGGCCGAAACACATTCAAAATTCAGAATGAAAAAACCTCTCAGAATCTGTGAAAAAATTATCAGGACCGTATTTGAAAAACAAAAGTTGATGATTGTTCTACGAATACGAAACGTCGCATAAACAAATCAGTAGCACCACGTTAAACGTCATCAAAAGTTGCTGTGATAAAGTATTTTCAGGTGTTCTGTATCTCTAATGATCACGGAGGAAAAAATAAAATGGATTTCAAAAAATTCACTCTTTTCGATATAACTCAAAAACTAACGTTTTCTCGAGATCCCCATGCTGTGCAACTTTATCATGGACAGACTGTATACTCGTATTAGTAATTTGATTATTCGTTTTTTGATAGTTTTTCATTCATCTATTTTGATAGTTTTTTGATGATTTGACTAAAAGTTGAGATTGTAGAGGACACTTACCCGTATGGATGGGGTATTTTCCTGTCAAAAATGCTGCCCTTGAGGGAGTACAAAGGGCCTGAGTATAGTGGGAGTTGAGGATGACCCCATTGTAAGCGAGGGCGTCAATATTGGGGGTGGGAATTTCATCGCTACCATGGAATCCCACATCATTGAATCCCTAGGAACAAAACAAAAAACGAAGAAGTAACAGTATATCACTTTACAATTCATTCATTTTTAACCAACGTCGTTTGGAAAAACGCGCGTATATTTTTGGACAGTACCTAGTTATGAAAACAAATTCTTTGCTTTTTTTTCGACTTGACTTTTTCAAGCTAAGTAAATCGACATTTCTCAAAATTTAGGAAAGAATGATTTTTTTCAGCCACCGACACAAAAGTCGTCCATTTTAATACCAAAATTGGCTCTCGAATTGACGTTTCCATTACTAACACAAACATAGGTATGTAGCTAGGCAACAATTTTAGTTCCTATAGGAGGTAAAGTTGAACTTTAGCTCCTAGGAACTAAAAAGAATGTACTAATTCATCAAGAACAAGAATAATAAACAACGTTGTTATGGTTGGTTATTTGGGCTGTTCCCGATTTCGCGGGATTTGGCATTTCATACCCGTGCTGGAGATATAAATACACCATATAATAGTTACGTATTTTTGTTTTGATCAGGAAAGCCTTTAAGATTCACATACTTGCTTGATCTGTATTTCATTTCTTCTCGGGATCTGATTGATTGGATAACTTGTTTTTGAATAATCACGGCCAGCAATACTTTTTTGTCTCGTACAACGATATTGTTTACATTCATTTGAGTACCGAGCCAAACACAGTGGAATATCGAGAGAAATGAATAATAATAGCTATTATTATTGTTGATATGCTCACTAACCTAACATTTTCCACTTCTTTTTCCTATACCTGGCACCAGCGCGGTATTTGCATTTAGGGTTGACACCTGGTCCAAATGACTTCATTGATTCATCGATTCAATAGAATACACTAATGGGTCACTCTGTGGTTGTATTTATATTGAAACTACAATTCGAACATCCTTGAAAATTGAATGAACCTGATCTATAAATGCAGGAAGAACATTCTATTCATTCATACATATGGCACGGCATCCACGTTTCCGGTATAGTATTGAATTCGTGCCTTGTAATGTAATGTAAAGTAGTCTGAGGTCTTGCTTTTATCTACTTACCCATATCATCATAAGGTATTATAATAATCTGTCAAGTAAGTCACATTGGTGGTTACTTCACATATTTATTTTAGTCAACTCTTTCGGTCGCAGGAAAAATAGCATCTTTCATTGCGATCTAAAGTGACTTTGTTTGACTCGCATGTCAAACAAAGTGTCACTTTTGATCCTAATAAAACAATCTACTACTAGTTGTTGATGTATACAGAGTGTTGCGAAATTCGACCAACAACGCTAGACAGGTGATATTATGCATTCAAATTCGGTATATGGTTTCATCTTTCAATGGTTGATTTCTTGTCCAGAAAGACATTCCGAGAATTTTACCCAGTAGTGCGCTACTGAGGGTTGTGATAACTTTTCCTCCCATATTTTCTACGCCACTGATGAAATTTCGATTATTTCCAATTTCTCGAATTGATTGTTCAATTATGTTGAAAAACTGCATCACCTTCAACTGAGCTAAAATGAACAGTTATCGAGATATTTGACCCAAAATAGAAGTTTGCATAGTAATTTTTCATCTTCTTCAGTAGTAGAAGATTACAAAAATTTTTGTTTCCTCTTTATGCGTGGAATAACTATTTCTGTTCAGCTACAGGGTGGGATCTGAATAGTATCTAATCTACTCAACACTAGGAACATATTTTTGCAGTTTTCTACTATTGAAAATGATGAAATATTACTATGCAATCTTCTATTTTGGGTCGAATATCTCGAAAACTTCATTTCTAATCAGTTGAAGGTGATGCATTTTTTGAACGAAATTGAACAATGAATTCGAGGAATTTGGAATAATTGAAATTTAATCAGTGACGTAGAAACTATGGTAGGAAAAGTTGCCACATCCCCCTGTAGGGCACCACTAGATAAAATGTCCGGAATGGCTTCCTTGTCAAAAAATGACCCATTCAAAGATGAAAGCATATACCGAAGTTGAATGCATTATATCCAATTTTTCTTGAGATATTGCGAAACAGTATCTCGAGAACTATTCGATGTCCCTATCTCAGTGATTATGAAATCACCCTGTGGAATTCTTTCAGGTTGAAGATATTACATCACAGTTCTCATTACAAGTTTCAAGATGAACTTCTGTTTTTTCAACAAGTGTAGGTATATGATATAAGTTAGACAAAACACCTTGCAAAATACCGTTTAAAAAATAAATGTAGGTATGAATAGTTATTAGTATTGAGTAATAACTACCTAGTTTTGTCACAAGAAGAACCCACTAATGTAGATTTAATTTTCCATATTGGAACCCAAAAAATCTAGGCCATGAACATTATGTGAAATATCCTTGAAGGTTGATCACGAAAATTTCAAGAGAAAAAGCGAAATAACAGACAATAAACATATGGTTTCTCGTAATAATACAAGAAATCCGAAATCAGAATGTATTTTTGAGAATTGAAAATGAATTAATTATTTTTCATGAGCATTGAACATTCAGATATATTTTCTCAGATATGTTGGAAATACCCATAAACAAAAAATATGTTATATTGACATCTCCAGTTTGGTCTCCCAAAGTACGACACGTTTTACTGTAACACCTGGTATATTATTTTATTACTTACCATATCATCTGCGATGATAACGACAATATTAGGCTTCTGGTTATTCCCGAAACATTTTTCCACTATCACTAGTACCAATATGAACCAATAACAGCGCGTCTTTGCCATTTCCGAAAAAAATCAAAAATTTCGATCCGGAACCAAAACGCGCGCTCGAGTTGGTAGTTACTACAACTAACGAGCATATCACAGTCGATCGCGTTTTGAAGGAGACAATCTAGTGTGAAAGTATTTATTTGTGAATAATTGTATTGGCTATTATCGATGAAAATAAAATATGGTGATGGAATTTTTATTCTTGATTACGCATACTAGCTACAGAACAAATACAATAGATTCTTATTTTGCTAATTGGATTTTGAAAATTGCACATAATCCACAAAGTTTGATTGACCAACAGGATAAAATCAGAAATATGAGAAATATACCCATAAATCAATAATCAATACAGTAACAGTAACAATAATACACTCAGTTCCAAAAAAAGTGACGCACTTGATATTTGACCTATCTTCTTGAAAAAAAAAAAACAATAAATAGTAGGCCGATTTTTATTTTTTTTTATATGTTGGTAGGTAATGCATTTGTCTTTAAAAAAATAATGAGGTAAACATGTTTTCAAAGCCTCCTTGATGGATGTGGAATAACTCGAACCATGATTTATTCTTAATTTTTGACTCACCCTGTGTGTTAATTGAGTAATGGCATATGAAGTGCTTGCACCCTATACGAAAGAGGCTTCTTTTGCGAGCATTTCGTTTTTTTATTCATTGATTTATCCCTAAAATTTTCCGAATTACAGCTTTTTTGCTGATACCTTACGCTCATCCCACAAATTAAATTTATTGAAGGATCAGAGTACTCAAAATTGATTGGGTTGTACTCTGGTAGGATCACATTGTCTTTAAAAAAACAAATGCCGTTGCCATAGCAACTAATTTGTTGTATGCCTCCATATTTGACCATTTGTCGTTGTGTCATTAATTAAGTGTCTTGTTTCATTGACTAAAATTACATAAAATGCCTCGAATAAATCCTGAACAAGTAGCAAGATTAGTTGGCAACTGCTCGTAGACTCGGCCTACTATTTTTTTTTAAGAAGATAGGTCAAATATCAAGTGCGTCACTTTTTTTGGAACTGAGTGTATATACCTACTATAAAATTGCAACCAAATTTTTAGGAATTTTCATTGATGAGAAATTCATCTTGGGACAAATAATATATTGAAAGAAACTGAAATCATGACTGGAATTTCATTCAAATTTTGAAAATGTATCACCAAAAAACATTAAGAAAACATATGTTATTTTGCCTCATCTATTTAAAATTACAATATTTGATATCCAACATTACATAATCAATATCATTACATGTCATCATCAGAGGTCAGTGGTGTATTACACACACCATGTTTGAGGAACAATTTTCACGTCATCTCGCATCATATCGTAGTTTTATCGCAAAAACATATCGCAATTACATCGCAAAAATTATATCGATGTTATATCGCAGAGAACTTATCGCAGCGACGTCTATGCGATATATAATGCGATATCTCAGGCCACAATTGTAACATCGCTGCGATATCTCTGTGATGTAACTGTGTTTATTGCTGGGTATTATGTAAATCTCTCAGGAACTTTGAAATATTCAAAAAATTTCGAAAATACCTGGAACTTAGTACAGGGTTTCTATGAATGAGCTCACTGCTTATGTTGTTCACGGGCATTGAAGCGACCGAATATGTCATACACGGTGGATGGCACATTAGACGTTTCTGGAGAACGCAACTCAGGAATATTCTGTGAAGTTGGTGCCTTGAATAATTATTTGTGTTCTATCGACCTAAGATATTCCCACCATTGCGACGTTGCCGATTATATTGAAAAGTATCAACAACTTTGATTTTTTAAACAGGACACCCTGTATATTATTCCATTTTCAGATTCTTCCTGAAGGGCTGATTTCATTGACCTATAACACTTGGGGTCTAGTAGTAATAATTACAGAGTTAAAGGATGTGAAAAATCTAGATTTTATTTGTGTAGAAACTATTCATAATTGGTCAAAACGGTTTTCACTATTCCCATTAATTTGATATTATTCATTATTCACTATCAATTGATATTTAATTGAAATAAATACAATAAAATAATTAGAATTAAGATTGTATCCCTCTGTATCTATTTCAATTAAATTGATTGATAGTACGTGAAAAGTTATAATGGAAACCGGTTTGACCAATAATTATGATTTGTTTCGACACAAAAAATTCTTAAAGTTGAAAAATCTCGATTTTTCACACCTTATATCTTTATTATCATTCCCGCTAGACCCCAAGTGTGATAGATCGATGAAATCAGCTCTTCAGGGAGAATATGAAAACGGAATGATATACAGGGTGTCCCATTGAAAAAATCAAAGTTGTCGCTACTTTTCATTATAAGCGACAACGTCGCAGCGCTGAGAATATTTCAGGTCGATACATCGTGAATCAGCCTGTATAGTTCGATCTCTGTCATGAGTGGAAAGCGGAAAATCAATAGAATATGTCAACGGGGGCACTACGACGCTACGATCATTTATAGAGACCCTGTATATCTCTATAATTGAAGTAGGTTATTATTTTTATTTTTCGTTTGAATCACTCCCATTATTTATTCATTCCATCAATTTCGAAGAATGGGAAATTCCTGAGAAATCCGGTGAATCCCTCATCAGTGATGAGTAAACAAAAGTATCTACATACCGGGTGACACGTTATAAAGTACCACCCCCTATAACCTTATTATGTTTGACAGTAGAAAAAAAGAAAAAAAAAACAGCCTTACAGGGGATTTTTTCTTCTCATCGAATCAACTGATATATTTTTAGTATCTCAGAGGATATACAGGGAACAAGAAAAAAAGTAAAAATTTTAAATGGAACGCCCTATATATTTTCGCGCCATTAGAGATAGACCTTTCGAAGAGCTTTCCGAAAATACCCCACTCAATACATTTATCTTCAGTATTTCTCATAATATGGGCAGTCTAACCTAAAAAAAAAGTGTTTATCGATCCTCAAATGATTTTTGAGAGTATGCTGTGACAATGAATCTAGGTAATCAATATATATCGTTAAGATATTCAATACTCATTGACAGTAAGTAATCGCTCAAAGTCAGAATTTTAATATTGATTTAATTTCCGGAAATTAACATTTTCTATCATTATTCAATCTATTCAACATCAAGTTGCAAAAATTCAGTCTTTGATTTCTATGAATCTCTGTCAATTTTTGTACCGTATGGAATTTATATTTTTTCAAATTCTTATGAGGTCCGAAACGTGCGCTTAATTCTTTTGCTGAAGTCCTCAATGATTTTTTCGGATTCTCTATATGATTCAGTAAGATATTCAATTCATGATTTTCGTCTTAGCTACATGTTCTTTTTTTTTCGTTGTAAATTGGAAGTCCTCCTAAACTTTAAGTAAATGTTGTTGATGGTTCGCCTTGATGGAATATATTTCCATTCGGAAAACGCAATTCATAGCCACGTCTTGCAGCGGATGCGTTTTGATTATTTTCTATGAATAAAGTTACTATTTCTTGCTTTTCTTCATTTGAATAAACCATGATTCAAAAATTGACTATGGAGGAAATTAACAAGAAATGACGAAGGAATTTATCTTCACTGGAAATGACAATGAAACTTCATAACAAACCCTCATTATTTTTCCAGTTACTCATGGTTACCTCATGGCATACTATCTATATACAGTCATAGAATAGTTGTTATTCATTCATGGCTATTTTATGAGAAATATTGAAGATAAGTGTATTGAGTGGGCTATTTTCGGAATGCTCTTCGAAAGGTCTATCTAATGGCGCGAAAATATATAGGGCGTTCCATTCAAAATTTTTGCACTTTTTCTTACTCCCTATATATCTTCTCAGATATTAAAAATATATCAGTTGATTCGATGAGGAAAAAAAACCCTGTTAAACAATTTTTTTAATTTTTTTCAACTGTCAAAAATAATAAAGTTATAGGGGGTGGTACCTACTTTATAACGTGTCACCCGGTACAAACAAAAAAACAAACTTCTGCATCCGTCTCGCGTATGGTACTGTGTTTTTCCGTCTATGCTAATCCATAAATCTTCCGTATTTTTTCCATTCTTCACGCGATGCGTTGAAAGATAACAAAGACGGATTACTCTTGAAAATCCACTGTATGAAATTAATTATATGGCTAATTAAATATGTTAACAAGAGTGAACTTGGCTGAAGCAAAACAAAGAATCGCTAATGCTAATCGTTATAATCGAACTATAAAACAAAGTCGAAAACTCGAACGAGATCCAGTAGCCGTCGAGAAAAAGCACAGGTACAATTTTATTATATCAGAATTTGGTGGTTCGGTAAGCCATGAGCGTGTTCAGTGAGCTCAGGATCATCCTGAGCGGTATCGGTTTTTTCGTGTGGTGCTTGAGCAGTGGTAAGGTCTCAGCAGCTGACCAACCTAATATCGTGTTTATAGTGGCAGACGATTTGGTGAGTTACCCCAAAGAATTTTACAGTAGGTATATATGTCTCAACTGAAACCTGTCAATCCTTAAAAACCGATAAAATTGAAAATCGTTCAGACTTTCAGAAAGCGTCAATTATATTTCAGAATAGTCAATTCAAGTTCAGAAAGCGTCAATTGAATTTCAGAAAGAGTCAAATTTTTTTTTTTTTTTTTATCGCTTGGAGCGCACGAGAGGGAATCCCTATAATGTTCAAAGAACATCGTGCGTTCCTAGGGAGGATAGGGACAGGAGGTAGGTATTGGAATTTTTTTTGAACTTTTGGAGATTATATGTTGTTGGGAACACTTCCACAGGCAATGAATTCCAGAGCCTAGCCGTTCTATGGATGAAGGAGTCTTGATAAAGTGCTGTTCGACATCTTTCGAGGTTGACAACGAAAGGATGTGCTGACTGGGCTTGTCTAGTTCGTCTGATTGGTATTGCCAGTGAAGGGACGATAGCTGAGATTTCCGAAGAACATTTCCCGTGGAAGTATCGATAGAAAAGTGAAAGGTCGCCGACCTTTCTACGGTGTTCTAATGATGCCAAAGAGTGAGTGAGTGTGGCGTCACCCACCAGGCGAATGGCTCTTCTCTGGATGGAATCTAAGAGCATCAGCGTATGTTTTGGTGCTGAACCCCATATGTGGGAACAGTATTCTAGAACAGGCCGTATCTGCGCTTTGTAGATCATGAGAAGCTGTTGAGGTGTAAAGTAGTTTTTCGCACGGAACAAGAATCCGAGTTTTTGGGAAGCAGCTTTTGCGATGGATCTGACATGATTATCTCATGAAAGAGTGGTGCTGATGGAAATACCGAGCATAGATATGGTGGGCTTGGTGGGGATGGTGGAGCCAGACATTACAATATCGGGCATACTGAGTTCCGCCTTTCTAGAGAAAATGCAGGCTTGAGTTTTGGTGGCGTTGAATTCAACTAGGTTGTTTGTTCCCCAGGCTGTGATTCCAGCAAGATCTTCATTGACAGCATTGACCTGCCTGCGCCGTGAGGTCTTAGTTTCCTGGGAAGAAATGGGAATTCTGGAAGAGAAAGCAGTATGGAGGGTACTATCATCTGCAAAGCTGTGGATGGGGCAAGTTGTTACTCCCAACAGATCATTGATATGAAGCAGGAATAATGTTGGTGCCAAAATTGATCCTTGTGGAACGCCGGAATTGATGCCAATGGTATCTGACGATACACCGTCCACTACCACGTGAAGCGATCTGCCTGAAAGAAAACTCGATAAGAGATGGCGTAGCTGAGGTGGTAAGCCGTATGATGGTAGCTTGTGGAGGAGTCCTTCGTGCCAAACACGGTCGAATGCTTTCGATATGTCCAACGCGACAGCTAGAGATTCCCCGTGTTTTTCTATTGAAGATTGCCATAAATGGGTGACGTAGGCAAGTAGATCTCCAGTAGATCTTCGGTGGCGAAAGCCGTATTGTCTATCATTGATGATTCCTGAGCTCTCCAGATATTTGATAAGCTCAATATTGATGGCTTTCTCCATCACTTTGGAGATTACTGATAACAGGGCAATGGGCCTGTAGTTGTTGGGCAGGTTCTTGTTCCCTTTTTTGGGGATTGGTTGGACTCTAGCTGTCTTCCAGCATGATGGAAAAATACCCGACCTGTACGAGATGGTAAACAACTTGCAGAGAATCGGTGTTAATTCTGGTGCACATTTTTTGAGGATAATGGGTGGAATTCCATCAGGACCGTTAGCTTTATTCGTTTTGAGACCAAGCAAAATTCGTCTGATAGTGCGTTGACGGAAGACGATTTCGGGCATTCGACTCTCAACGGGTGGAATGTCTGGCGGCACTTTTCCTTGGGAATCTAAAGTAGAGTTTGCTGCGAAAATTTCTGCAAAAATATTCGCTTTCTCCTGCGATGTTATTGCTAATGTGCCGTCGGATTTGGACAGTGGTGGAAATGAACTGTTAGTGAAATTTCTTCCGACCGCTTTAGCAAGGGACCAAAACGAACGGGAGCCATTGGGACAATCTATGAGTTTCGATCTGATCTTGGCATTGTATGTTTCTTTCGAAGCATCTATTGTTTGGCTGCAGTTATTCCTGGCATCAACGTATTCTGCTCTAGTCGCGAGGTTAGGGTTTTTGCGCCAGCGATGGTAGGCTGTTTGTTTCAAGGCAACAGTTCTAGAACAGCTTTTGTTGAACCAGGGTTTCGAAGGTGATGATCTTTTCGAAAAATGAGGCGCTTGACTTGTCCTATACATTTTGTAATGTCTCAAAGGATGAAATAAATATTATTATTATTATTATTATTATTATGTATGTTTCCATTCCGAGCATGATGATCTCGGATATTTCCGCAGCACACTGTGAAGGGTCCTCAGAGTCAAAGCATACTCTATGCCAAGGAAACTCGGAGAAAAACATGCGGAGACCGTCCCAATCTCCAGAATTGTAATGCCATATAAGACGTGGGGGTGCTGGAGCAGTTGATGGAATGAAAAATGGGCAGGTTGTGGAGATGAGTGTGTGGTCAGAATTGCCAAGTGGAGCTCGTACATCTATGGTGTAGGGTGCTGAATTATTCGTGAGGAATAAGTCAAGTATGTTAGCTGAATGGTTATTGGCATCGGGAATTCGTGTGGGTTCTTTGATAAGCTGCTCTAAGCCGTGAGTGATGGCGAAAGCTTCGGCTTGTCGCCCAGCTTCATCCGTTCTGTTAGAGTGTACGAGCCAAGCAGTGTTGTGTACATTGAAATCGCCCATGATGATGATTTCTGCTGCTGGATGGTTCTGTTGAATTTGGTCAAGCTTCAGAGACAAGAATTCGAAGAGCTCCCCATAGGATGGATCATTTGGTGATAAGTAGAGACAACAAAGGTATTTGGTCTGTTTCTGGCTATCGAGTTTGAACCACATGACATCAAACTTATTGGGTTCCAAAGTTTTTTCTCGTTGACATGAGAGATTCGTTTTAGAGTAGAGGCAGAGACCTCCCTTGAATCTGAAACGTGTGTGGAGTTCGTACCCAGGACAGAGCAGATAGGTCGTATTGGTCGATGAATTGACCTGTGTCTCAGTAAGAGCCAATATGTCTGGCTTTTCAATTTGAAGGTGTCGATGGACATCGTTGATGTTCTTACTTAGACCTCGGATGTTACATAGGTCTATCTTGAGGACTTTTTCAGCCGATAGTGAACCCCCTCTAGCACCTCTCGCCCGGAAATCCGAATGGAGAGGTATTTTACTTCCGGATAATTTTACTTGAGGAGAACTCATCATCGCGTATTCTGTATAAAGAAGGGTGGTTGGCGTGGAAGGAAAAGGAAATTGGGTTGGGTTGGGTTGTATTTCAGAATAGGTAGTCACTTGTATTTGTGAGTGCTTCAATTGTATTTCATAATAGTCAATTCAGTTTCAGAAAGCGTCAATTATATTTCAGAATAGTCAATTCAGTTTCAGAAAGCGTGAATTATATTTCAAAATAGTCAATTCGAATTCAGAAAGCGTCAATTGAATTTCAGAATTGATTGATTGATTGATTAATAGCAGAATGATCAGTCAGGGTTCGAAGCCCAAAACACTGCAGCCTTTGGGCCTATTATATTCCTGATAATGCTGTTGACTTAGGGGAACAGGTTCGCTACCTTGATGAGGTTTAGCAGCCTCTTCACCAAATCATTCTTGGCCTCTTGAGAGTTTACTGCTCGCAGAAGGTTGTATCTCCAACGCGCTAGTGCTTCGCACTCCAATATTACATGGGTGGCAGTTTCCTCCTCCTCATTGCATAGTCTGCACATGGGTTTCGTCTGTATAGATGCCCATTTGATGCATATGTTTCCTCAAGGGGCAGTGACCTGTTATTAGTCCCGTCACTTGTCTGATCTGACTTCAGTTATTAAGACTCAGAATGTCGTTAGCTACTGTTTTGGACAGTGTTCCAACCATCAGTTTACTGTGTCTTTGTCCTGGGACATTGTTCCAGTATGCCTGATGTCTTTCTTGCATCCACCTTGCCAGCCAGCCGCGTATTGAGGTTTTAGGGATACCCAACACAGGTTCCGGTCCCATAAACAACGCCGCAGACCCTTGCCTGGCAAGAGCGTCAGCTGCTTCATTGCCTTCAATTCCCTTATGCCCTGGCACCCAATGAAGAGTCACCTTGTTGTGGTTAGCAGGCTTTGAAGGCAATCCCAGACCAGTTTCCCAGCGAGCACACAAACATCTCAGAGATGTTAAAAGTACGAGATTTCGAGACATTGAACCTCCACTGCGATGTTCTGTTCACACATGAATAGAACTATTATAGAACAGCCAATGTCCGCCGCATTCGGCAATTATCGAGATGTCCTTATTGATATGTCACAAAACTACTTTCTATCCCTAGTTCTTTTTAAAGCCTTTTCATGGACACAACAAAACATTTTCAATGCGTCTTGCGCACATTAAATCGCTGTAAAAAACCCATTTTCGAGGTACTTTTCTGAAGCCTTTTGTCAAAATGAACTTTTGCATTAGGATTCCATTTCCCTTGAATGAGAAAATGCATTAAAAATAGATTGAACATAAAAATATTTTCTTGATATGAAATTACCTTCTTAATCGGTTTCTGAGTAGTGCTTACTACACACAGACATATAATTGGAAATAGGTTTCCCAAATTTTGGAATGTTCTCCACAATGCATAATTATTTTGCAACTGCGGAGAAGCTGTGTATTGATGAATTCGTACTTTTATATATTGATTACACTGAGGCACCGAACAACACATCTTGCATCTGATGGTCATTATTACAAACTAAATAAGTCTTCTAACACAATAAACTTCACCAAATTCCTTTCTGTTCGTTAGCAGCGTGATGTAAGCGTGACAGCTGCAAACGCGAATGCCAATTGCGAACAAGAAGAACAAAATCGAAAACAAATCAGAATTCAACGTATTGTGACGTAAGCATGAGACGTTGTGGTGGGGCAAACAAAAAAAGGGCACAAAAGAACAAAAACAATACTTTCAATATCCTTCTAAGACCTCTTTGGGTAGTGCATATTACGCCTCAAAAAAAAATCCTCATGCCTAGATTTCTAAAACATCCCAAAACATCCCAGGGATACCTCTCAGTAGGCAAACAAAGAAATGCCACAGAAGAACAAAAACAACAACAACAACTTTAATCCTTCAAAGACCTCTTTGGTCAGTGCATATTACGTCTCAAAATAACATCTTCATGCCAACATTTTCAAAACATCCCAGGGATGTTTGTGTTCGCTGGGTTTGATCTGATTTTTATTGCATGTTAAGGATTGAATGGCCGTATTTCAGAATAGTCACGTGTATTTCAGAAAGCGTCAATTATATTTCAGAATAGTCAATTAAAATTTAGAAAGCGGCAATTGAATTCCAGAATATCACTTGTATTTGAGGGTGCGGCAATTTAATTTCAGAAAGCGTAGATTGTATTTCAGAATAGTCACTTGTATTTCAGAATAGTCAATTGTATTTCAGAAAGCGTAAATTATATTTCAAAATAGTCACGTGTATTTCAGAAAGCGTCAATTTTATTTCAGAATAGTCAATTCAAATTCAGAAAGCGTCAATTGAATTTCAGAATAGTCCATTGAATTTCAATGTTAAAATCTGGTCTGTTTTAGATTGAGTTCCACATAAATAGGCGGTTCAGCACCCAAACACGATAATGCTCTCAGATTTCATCCAGCTATACCAAATATTTTCTGTCTATAGTACGCACGATATTCCACGAACATAACAGAGATTCCCTTCCGTGTGCTCCAATAGATGGAATAACCTAGGGTTCCGATGTTCCACCAAAGTGGTAAAAAACATCGTTTCATCTTCAGAGAGCATTATTCAAACAATGGACAATGATTCATACCATTGACGTCTTGTCTGTAATTTTAGGGATGGAACGACGTTGGATTTCATGGGGGTAATCAAATCCCCACCCCAAATATAGATGCACTTGCGTACAATGGAATAATTCTGAACAGTCACTACGTTCAAGCGACTAGTACTCCCTCTAGGACTGCTTTGCTCACAGGAAAATATCCGTTCAAATTAGGTGGGTGTATATCTTAAATTACAAAGTACCTGATGAACAAATCGTCATTCCGAACAGAAATATACAATGTATCTCAAGTGTCTAGCTTTTGGTATAAACGTGTGTTGTAATTTCAAAACGTAAAATTATGAACGTGAAAATGTCAAAAATATCAGTGGAATGATTTTGATCAAATGCATTTTCAAATAATACTCCACTTCTAGGACCCATTGTATACGGTACTTAAATTTGTATGATTTTATGTTATAATTCGCTTCTCCTTACTATAATTAACATAACTAGGGAATATTCAGTTGAATATTATTATTCAGAAATAACTTCAATGACAAATATAATTATGCATAGTCATGTCATGTAAATTATGAAATAAGTACCCTTGTTCAAATGTTTGTTACAACACATCAAAAATATAAAAATTTATTGTGAAATCGTTAAATTAATATGAATAGAATATTCAAAAATGATTTCACTTTTGTTTGAAATTCAGCAAATGAAAAATAGTCACTAATGTGGTGGTATGAACCAGTAAAATGTTGTTTTTGTCGAATCAAATGATATTTGTTCGAATATTTTTCAGATAAGAGCCTTTTGTTGTTCATGTCATATGTTTCGAGAATTCCTACGTGATATACACTTGATGCCAATAACGTATAGACAAACAAACCTACCTATAAATGATAATGTTAAAACAATGTGAACATTAATGAAATATGGATATTGTTTTGGCACACCGTGTATATCGAGCTAAAGTTTTTTTTTTTTATATAGGAATGCAAGGAAGTTCTTTTTTGCCCGCTGACAAAAGGTCTCTACCTCCTGGAATGCTTTTGCCTGATCATTTCAAGGTAACGAAAATTATATTTCAATCTCCTATCTTCAATAACATTACATTTTATCTGTATAGGCTTTGGGATATTCCACACATTTGGTGGGAAAATGGCATTTGGGCTATTCCAAATGGAACGAAACTCCAACCTTCAGAGGATTCGATCACCATTTCGGATTCTACAACGACTTCACCAGTTACTACGATTACTTGACCACGTGGAGAGTAAGTATTTCCCTCATTCTATTCTTTATTTATACTACCGATTTCTCGACTCAATCCTAATCTGCCCCTCAACAGTACCATTGAAAGAGGTTTCGGACCGAATAATGATAATGCCTATAGATGAAAAATGGCGAGGGTCCCAAAACGGAGCCTTGAGGAACACCGTAGTTGCATGTAGTTCACGCGAATAAAATGAGTACCGACTTGAATACATACATGTTTTTGTACTTTGAAATGGTTTGTAGTTCATCATTAACCCAAAAAATAAGAAGAATCATTTTTATTATTATTAAATATTCAATTGTCAGTATATACTCCCTAAATACTTACAAATGTACTGCACCAAGTGCGGAAAAGTGACTATTTCAACACACAAAATGAGTGCGGTAAAGTGGATTTTTTGCACGCTAGTAGAAAACATTTCTTGTTGTCGGAGTATTAGGTATTTTTTTTTAACTATATGTTTGCGTGAAAATCGACTTGTTATCACTTAGACTACTTAGAGATATAAAAAAGATTCATCTTGTGAACATTTCACCAACGCCACAGAGCCACATATTCTTCCAATCATATTTCCTTTTTTTCAAAAAAAAATTCGATATTTCGTACTTCTGAAAAGAAATATTTTTCATAGAGTTTCTTCTTGAACATAGCCTCCGAAAATTAAAAACAATTCCAACACCTCCCTATAGGTACGCACGATGTTCCCCGAACAATATAGGAATTTCCTTTCGTGCGCTCCAAGAGATGAAACCCCTAATTTTCTCAGAATTAAAAACGACTCACCCTGTATATTCCCCCAGTTCAATGACAAAGACTACACGGGTTTCGACCTTCACAAAGATGGCGTCCCGGCGTTCGAGGAAACGGGAAAATACGCCACCGACGCCTTCACCGACTATTCGGTGAAGACCATCGAGGAGCACGACACTTCGAAGCCCCTTTTCCTCATGTTAGCCCACCTGGCGACGCATGCGGCGAACGAGGGGAAGCCCCTGGAAGCGCCGCAGGAAACGGTGGACAAGTTCGGGCATGTCGAGGATTCCAACAGGAGGACTTACGCAGGTATATAAGAATATCTTCGAAATTTGTCGAACAAATCTCTACCAAAACTCGTTTAGGCGAGTGGACAATTTTTTTTCCTTAAGTAGAATCATCACTCGAATATCATATCGAATTTTTCGGTTGATTTTAAGGTGCTTAAATCATAATTATGCCACGGTAATTTTCAAACGACTAGCCATATATAGCAAAGTTGACATATGTTGAAATATCGATTTTGAACATCAGGAATATTAGTTATTCAAAATAATTCATAAATTTTCAATTATGCATTGGTAACAACATTCCTAATCAACAATAAAAGATCAATTGTCTTAAAATATTCCCTATAATGTGTTGTGGCTTATTGCTTATGCTTAATACATTTGTGTAAAAAATAATTATATTAATCCACACTAGAGGACGTTTGTATCGGTAAACGCGGCAACACGGCGCATGTAACGGCTTGTTACAGACTTAATTGAATTACAATACTTTATCGCAAATCGTAACTTTTTTATTCTGATATTTTTCTGACATATTACAATATTATTTTATTGACATCATCATTCTCAAATGTTTCCCCCGGTAAATCGAACATTCTTAAAATATACAGGGGATAACGACAACAAGTATATACAGGGAATAAACGCCGGAACATTCTCCCCCCGGTGAAGAATCATTCTTCAACTCTAACATCTAGTTTGCACAACTTCGTCACTGGTCTCTTGTAAGTGTTTCTTCTAGTTTGTACGTCTGCAACACGTACTCTTCCATCAGGACCTGGATACACAGCTGCAATTTTCCCGATTTGCCAGTGATTTCTCGGTGAGTTTTCATCAACGATGAGGACAATATCGTCATTTTTTATTGAACTTTGGTCATCAGTCCATTTTTTTCGTTTGTTCAAGGTAGGTAGGTACTCTTTCACCCATCTCTTCCAAAATCCATTGGCTAGCATTTGAGATTTGCGCCATTCCTTCCTGAGACAGTTTCCAGGATTGAATTCACCTGGTGATCCTTCAGTGTGCGCATATCCAACTAGAAAGTGATTTGGCGTAAGAGCTTCTGGATCCCTTGGGTCAACGGATACATACGTTAGTGGTCGAGAGTTCACTATATTTTCAGCTTCAGCGAAAAGAGTGGCCAAAGTTTCCTCTCTCAATGATTGCTGATGTACAACGACACCTAGAGATTTCTTAATTGATCCAATTAGTCTTTCCCAAGCCCCACCCATATGAGGAGCTCCTGGACTAATGAAATGAAAATCTATTTTTCTATTGGCAGAGAAGTCTATCATTTGGCTTTGGTCAAGTTCTTTGAGGGCACGCCGTAGTTCTTCTGCTGCTCCTCTCAGGTTGGTCCCATTGTCGCAGAATATTGTCTGAGGATTTCCTCGTCTGGCAATGAATCTGCGAATTGCCATTATTGCTGAATCTGTGGACATTGTAGAAATAATTTCTAGATGTACGGCCCTAACTGCTAAGCAGGTGAATAGCACGCCCCATCTTTTCTCTCTTCTTCTTCCTACTGCTACTGAATAAGGGCCAAAACAATCCATCCCCACGTTTACAAAAGGTCTAATACAGGGCGTTAAACGAACTAATGGTAACTGTCCCATGATCGGAGGTTTTGGTACAGAATCATTATTTTTACACTTTTGGCAGCTTTTTCTGACAACTTTCACTGCAGCTCGACCATCGATAATCCAAAATTTTTGTCTAATTTCATTTAAAATGCTTTCAACTCCAGAATGTCCGAACTTTTCGTGGTAAAATTGAAGTAATAATTTAGTATATGGATGCTTTGGGCACAAGATGAAAGGCTTTTTCGTCTGGGCATCTAAACAGGTGGCTAAATTCGTTCTTCCACTCAGAATCAGCAAACCATCATCATCAATTTCAGGACTAAGTTTTCGAATTCGACTATTTTTCTTCAATATCTTACCCGATTTCAAAATTCTTATATCCTCTTCAAAACTTTCCATCTGTGACTTCTTTATCCACAATTTCTCAGCTTTCGACAATTCTTCCACAGTCATGAATCCACTTATTGGGTTACAGCAAGTTCCTCTCACTCGACTTTTCAATATTTCAGTGAACCTCAACACCCAAGCTGTAGAACGTATTAAACGTAGCCATTTAGAAAACCTCGTAATTTCTGGTAAAATTGCCTCACTCTCCAAAGAAATGGTTCCAGTGAATACATTCTTCAACTCGCAATCATCTTCCAAGTCATGATTATCTCGTTGACTTTCAGACAACTTTGAAATTTTTACTTCTTCTGGCCATTTTTCTACTGGGTCTTTCAAAAATGAGGGTCCGTTCAACCAAATTGTCGAAGTGACGCAGGTTTTACGGTTCATATGTTGTCGAGTGGCTATATCGGCTATGTTTATCTCCGTAGGAATCCAGTGCCAATCCGAAATTTGTGTTTTCTCTTGGATTTCTCCTATACGATGAGCCACGAAAGGTTTGTACTGACCTCCATCGCTTCTTATCCATTTCAAAACGCAGGAGGAGTCAGACCAGAAGAATATCTTTCCTATGTCAATTTCTATTTCTTGTTTCAACGTTTCTGCTAATCTCGTAGCCAATACAGCCGCCTGCAGCTCTAACCTAGGTATGGAAAGTGGCTTTAGCGGGGCTACTCTTGTCTTTGCCATTACCAAAGCTGTATCGATTCCTTCATATTCTACTCGCAAATAGGCCACAGAAGAATAGGCCTTTTCACTAGCATCGCAAAATATATGGAGTTCTATGGATCTGGCAGATGGTATGAAATGGGAATAACACCTTGGAATTTTCATTCTCACAACAGTCTTCAGCTCTTCTTTCCATTCCATCCAAACCTTTCCTAAATTGGGTGGAATATTTTCATCCCAGTTTACACCTGTCCGCCAAATTTCCTGCAAAAGAATCTTTGCACCCACGGTATGAAATGATAGAAAGCCTAAAGGATCAAAAATTGACATGACAATTCTCAAAATTTTTCGTTTTGTTATTTTATTATCCAAGTCGTCGTCAAGTTTCAGTTTGAAGCAAATGTCGTCATCTACTGAGTTCCACCAAATGCCTAACACCTTCTGTGCTGATTGATTAGTCGCTGAAATATCTTTATTGTTCGTTGAATCTGCTGAGAATATTCGCGCTACCTCCTGTGAATTAGTAGTCCAATTGACAACATCGAATCCAGCTAATGACATTACCCTTTTTACTTCCATAGCTTTGCTGACGGCTTCCTCTTCTGTATCTGTAGAGTCTAAATAGTCGTCCACGTAGAATTTCTTTGTGATAGCATCCAAAATGTCTGGTGTTTTGCTCTTCTCCTCTGCATTCAAGTTCTTTATGAATTGTGCGCATGCAGGAGAACATGTCGCTCCGAAGGTCATGACTTGCATTTCATAAACTTCAGGTTCTATTGCGGTATTCAGGTTCCTCCACAATAGTCTTTGAGCACACCGGTCGTCTTGTCTGATCATCACCTGGTGGAACATTTCTCTAACATCCCCAGTGAAGCCATATTTTCTTTGACGAAACTTGATGAGAACAGAGACAAGTGATTGTAGTAAGTCCGGTCCAGCCATAAGCTTATCATTAAGACTCACTCCTTGTGACTTGGCGGCTGCATCAAATACCAAGCGTATCTTTCCTGGTTTATTTGGGTTAGATGTAGCAAAGTGTGGTAAATACCAAGTATGTGGCGGTTCAATCTTTGCTTCTTCTGGTGTCAGCTTCTTCAAGTACCCTTTTTCTAAATAACTTTCTATCTTTGTACAGTATGCTCTCGCAAATTCTTCATTCCTGCTACACTTCCTTTCCATACATTTCAATCTCTGATGTGCATTAGTTTTACTCTCCGGCAATTAAGTATTCTGATTTTTGCAGATAAGACCTATTTCAAACCTACCCTCAACCCGTCGAGCTGTGTTTTTCATAGTATTCAGTGCTTCTCTCTCTTCTCTGCTGAACTTATTCATTACTGGCAACACTCCAAAGGCTTCAAGAGATAATGAATTCTTCACTAGGTCATGCAGGTTCTCGTCTTCATTCCCTTTATTACAAAGGTGCATGGATTCTACCGTTTTGTAGCGCCTTTCTTTTCCATTTCTACCATGAAGGGACCAACCTAGACGACATTTTGTAGCAATCGGTGAGTCTCTTCTGTTATCGGCATCAGTTCTAATCTGTCTGGGAATCATGAGATCAATGTTGTCCTGACCTATCAGCAACATTGGCCTTTCATTTACAAAGTCTTTGATTGGAAGATTATTAATATACGGATAATCTTGCCAATCTTTCATCTGAATAGTTTGTAATGGCAAAGAAAGGTTATCAGTTGTATGAGCATTTTTCAAAATCATTATTTTGGAACCAGTTTCACCAGAAATATTCAGATCTAGACATTCTGAGTACTCTAATTTGGTTGAAATATCTCCAGTCCATTTAATACAGAGTGGTTCTTTCTTACCTCTCAATCCCAGTTTCTTAGCAATTTCATTATCCAACAGACTAACTGTGGATCCTTCGTCACAGAGTGCTAGAGTGTGTACAACATCAGTGGGTCCATGAATACTCACAGGAATCATTCTCAGCAGAATATTTTGATTAGTTTGTTGCACGGCCATAACAACTTCTGAATCTGACGATGATTGCGTAGAGATGTTATGAACTTCTGCATTTATTTCTTCCTTTCTACGAAAATTGTTGTTATGCAAAAGTTTGTGATGTTTCAATTTACAGCCATCAGTACCACATTCTCTTTTGTACTTGCATCTTAGTTTTTGATGATTTATACCTAGACAAGAGAAACAAAGCTGTTTACCTTTGACGATTTCCCACCGTGTGTCCACGTCATCAGACTTCAGTTTTTCACAATTCGAAATTCTGTGATGGCCATCTTCACAATATATACAGGTCGTTTCTTTCGGCTCCTTCGCAGTTGTGCTCAAAACCGCATACCTCTGTTGTGGATTTGGTTTCTTGTAATTTTTCGAAGGCTCTTCATATTTTTTCTGGGAATAA